CAAGATAGCAGAATTCAGTTGCAATATAATTGTAATTTTGAGACTGGACAATTGTATGCACATTATAGAATACTTCAAGTGTTGCAGAGGAATTATAATAATTTGGGTGAATTTGAATATAAAGTATGGTTGTTTATTATGGGCATAAGCTAGGTAAGTTTGGGGCTTGTACATTTTCATTCTATTTTTTATAACAATAGAGATTTTGATCCTTTTGCTTTCAAATTTGGTTAACCACAGTTTAGTATTATGACCGAACCTTTATATGTTTTGGGGAAGCCATTTATAGGAGCCACAATTTATCAGTATTTGATCATAACGTTTAACTAAAAGTTGATCAAAACAAAGTTTCCGGTTCTTTCTTACAAAAGAGATGAAGCATGGAGATTGTAATTATATTTCTGAATGGATGAGCCAAAGTTTATTATTGCATTTGGAAGCAGCCATTGTACTGCTCTGAATAAATTATTAAATGGTGTAAGACTGTGTTTCATGGAAGCAAGTTTCCTGCCCCATTTTTTATTTACCTAATTACCATCTTTTATTCAGTAAAGCTAGGACAGTGCTTTTTCCTTCTTTTCTTCCTTTACTGAGAACAGTAGCTCCTTGCACTAAAATAAGTGTCACTTGTTCTCAGCAAGAAAGCATGAAGTCCCAAATCCTGTCTGATTTATGCTGATCTCCTTGTGGATATTTGTAAACCTACACAGGTCACACACAATTGCTACAAGTCCTCAATGGCAGTCATGCTTCATAAATTGACTGACTATAAAAATCAGACTCCACAGTCCAGAAAACATTCTACAGATAGGACAAATAATTATCATAATTTCATTACATTTAGATGAATGTGTGCAAATTCAAAAGTAAAGAAATATCTGGCAAATGTAATGTTTATAATAGAGATAATATTGTTAATAAACAAAAATGCCCCATGTTCACACTCACTGAGGTAAATTTATCTTTGCTGGGTATGATTCCCACGGTCAAGAGAGCTGGGGAGTAATTGAATACTGTTTTGATGATGTGGTTTGAGCTCCATCATGATATATAGCCAAACTTATAAATTTCTGCTATATTTTCTATTTCCAGATGGGAGCTCTGGAGGGATCTTCTATAGTTTCATAAGGAGGCATAGTATGAGATTAGGGAATAAGGGAAAGGGAGATGTAGTGACATAGCCAGTAAGTCAAAGCATATGTTTTGATGGAAAATCTCCAATCAAACTCAGCAAGTTGTTGACCTCATGGACATGTCTGTAATTATCTTGACAACACAGGAAGTGATTTGCTATTAACCGTCCAACTCCTCAATTGAGCCTACAAGGTATATTTCTTCATCTCCCCTCCAATTACTTACTAGATCTGGCTTTGTGCAGTTTTTAGGTTAGTTAGAATTTGCTTCCTAGCTAGCAAAAAGTTCTGGATTTTTCATTAAAAATTTGAGAAAATGCTGAAAATTCTAGTTAGCACCAAAGGTAGATATAGAAGCAGTTTTGGATAAAAACACTAATTGCCAACTTCTATAAGAAATAGAGCCCCATAGCAAAGCTGTTGTATGGCTCAGAATGTGAGCTAGATATCAGTTAGCCTTGCAAGTCAAAGTAACCTCAGGAGCAGTACAAAACTCAGATTGGACAGCACGGATCTTAAAGTACCAGGTTCTAAGGCAGTGTTTCTCAACCTTGACAATTTTAAGGCATGTGGACTTCAATTCCCAGAATTCCACAGCCAGCATTGCTGGCTGTGGAATTCTGGGAGTTGAAGTCCACATGCCTTAAAATTGTTAAGGTTGAGAAACACTGTTTAAGGCAGTGGTTCTCAACCTGTGGGTCGGGACCCCATTTGGGGTCAAATGACCATTTCATGGGGGTCGCCAAACCACGCTGTCCGCCATTTTTTTTCCTTTTCCCTAGCTGTCCTACTCCCTCTTATTGGTGGCCACACCCACTTGGGGGTCACCACAACATGGGGAACTGTATTATGGGGTCACGGCATTAGAAAGGTTGAGAACCACTGGTTTAAGGTCATGCATCTAAAGTGCCAAGGCAGCAGGATCTGTGTGTCAGGAAACATGCTCCTTTTCAAACTATGAGAAGTATATCAAAATTCAAAGGGAGCAAACCATTTCCTTGGGACTTGGGGATGCTTTTGTGAGCATACAGGAACAGGTGCTCTGTCTTAGGCCTTCAAACTTCCCTCTTTTGTCATCTTTGTTATCTTGCAGAATGTGGAGAAATTATTTTTTATTTGTTCTCTTGCTGTCAACAATTAGTTTCTCACAATACCTCAATCACTAGAAAATACACTCCTAACCAATGAGCTGTGTTTAAAATCTTGATTAACTCCACACTGAGAAGCTTTGTATATCTCTAAATAGCAAAGAGCTGAATGTTGTATTTCCAACATGATATTGTTGCTGAAGAACAGGAAGTGCAGGGAGCCTGTGTTTCCAGTTTATTTCACAATATTGTATCTAAGATAAGTTTGTTATGCTTTATAAAAATAATTTTTAAAAGTTCTCAAATCTAATAGGGCAGAAAAAAGTACAAATAATCAATAAAGACCACATTTTAAAAAATAGTTAACACCTTTTAAAATTCTTTTAGTTAATGATTTTATATCAACGCTCTGCTTTTAGTAAATAAAAGGTAGCTAAGATTGCTAATAAGCGATCAAATTCTCCAAGGAAAGGAAATTATCATCCCAGAATATTTTTCATTTTCACATCTTTTTCTTCTTCACTTTTCACCCTCACAGTATCTGAAAATTGATCAATGAGGGAAAGATGCTTATGAATTTCTTTACATGGGTTTTGTGATTTGCATTCTACCATTTCTCCTAAACAGATATTTCACTTAAAAATAAATTTAGCTAGTTTGGCGCTGAGGAAAATGGAGCAAAAACAGGAATGCGAAATAAAAGAAGTATCTGCATGTTTAGAGAAATCCAGCTTTTCTAGAAGTACAACATCCTTATCGTAAGCAAAACAAGAAGTGTGCACTGTATATTAAGAAGTCAGAAAATAAACATGAGCACAATCAAATATAACATTGTGGCAGATCGCTAGCTGGCTAGATCCCTCAGCAAGGGTGTTAGTCCAGAAGATTGATTTTGGTACAGAATTTACTTGTCTAGTTTTTGCTTAGTTTTATTACACTGAGGGTAGTTTCACATATGGTAACTTGTTTTTATGTCAGTTAAGAAATTGTGTATACTCTGATGAAGGGTGGGGAGGAAGAAGAAATTGCTATTCCTACATAAAATGAGACAGTTGTTGCTTAGCCTATCCTTAGAATTGTTATGACAATAAGTCCTTTATCAAGTATTATGCTTTGGATATTATGGAATGTAAATTTTTTTACACTGAGATGATTTTCATGTAGAGAAAAGTTGATGAGTTAGGATTACAGCCTTGGTTCAACATATATTGCATTTTCCTAGCAATCATTCATCACATTTTGACCAGCTGCCCATTTTTTCCTCCAGGCTACATGCAACAATATCTGTGCTAGTAGGTTTTGTCTACTAGACTAAGCCTTAGAATATTATCATGACTTCTTTTGGTACAATAGTTTCAGCCAAGCTGTGGCCTGACAATATACGTGGAGTCATCCAGGGCACCATGTGCTGAAAGGGGTCATCTTTGGTTGATTGGGGCATAAGGGTACAGATAAGATGTTTGAACAGTTTGATTGATCTAATTCTATACTTGATTCATTTTCAGTACAATTATTTACATGTGGCTCATGGGAAGCAACAAATTGTGTTTAAGAGGTGACTGATCAGTGCATGTAAAAAGTAGCCAGCTTGCAAAGAAGATAGTTCTAAAGTTCTTCTTAAGAAATTTTGATGGATGCAGTATATTGTGATAAATATTATTAATAAATATATCCATTTTGGTTTATGTTTAAATAGTAATAGTTTAACTCCAGTCATTTAATTTTATACATACGTACGTATGTACGTACATACATACATACATACATCAATGAATGAATGAATGAATGAACACACAGAAGAACAAATAGACTATCTCAGCCAATTTTAATCCAGGTTCAAGCCTGATTCTGAAATTAGTTTTTATTTCTCTGGTGAATGATCACTAATTCTCTTTGGTCTCTTAATGGTTTAGGTGCTATCAGCCATTGAATTCTTCTAACCTTTACTTCCAAATCTAAAAGCAGAAAGTGCCACAAAAGATGCTTAGAAAATAGAAGGGAGAATTAGTTCGGAAATACTCAGAGCCAATTTTTTCATTAGAGACCATTCGGTGGCATGACATACCTTTATTAGCTGCAACCATTACTGGAACTATATAATATATTACTTTAAAAATCCATGTTCTGCCAATCTTCCAGTTCAATTACTGCAGTATAGGTTATTCTGGAAGATTGCTCTACAGATTTCAATAGTTTTTGATTTCGGGCTCAAGTAATTCACTACACCACTACTTGTTTAGCAGTCTGCCAATGCTTTAATATTGTCTGTCCTATTCCGGGTCTGTGGTTGTTTAACTTAGGAAATGGCTTTTTGGCACTGATATCATGGTAATAGAATGCCTACTCTAAAAATTCTCATTTGGCACCTGGTTGCAAACTTTTCAGCACCAGGCAAAGGTATTTTTATTTGCTCAGGCATTCTTATCAGTTATAAATGTTAATAAATATTTTACTTTCATATATAACATAAGAAAAAGCAGTGTTGTACTAGTCTGGAACTTTGAAGTAGAAAGAAGAGTGAGATACATATGCTTAAATAATGTGTTCCTTCCAGTATTGCTGTGTATGTTTTGTCATCATACATTTTATAACCAGAGTCACTTTTCAGCGATTGAATAGAGCAGTGGTTCTCAACCTGTGGGTCGGGACCCCATTTGGGGTCGAATGACCATTTCACGGGGGTCGCCAAACAAGGCTGTCCGCCATTTTTTCCCCCTTTTCTTTGGCCACGCCCCTGGCACCCGGTGATGTATAAGTGGTTGGGGGTCACCACAACATGGGGAACTGTATTATGGGGTCGCGGCATTAGAAAGTTTGGGAACCACTGGAATAGAGCCTCATTTTTAGGCTTGAACTACATATAAGTTGAATCATTAGAAACTTACGGTATCTCTAACCCTTAGAGGTAAATTAGCTCTTTACCATCTTTCTGAAATGCTCTATAAGGATAAAGGTATGAAGGAGTGAACTCTGGGTGTAGGATCATTACATCAGTTATTACAGGCCAAAGCAATTGAAAGGATAAAGATATTTGGTAGTATCAGCTCAGCTGATTATTGCCAATCTTTGACAAACAACAGACATAATAGAGTTGTATTTTCTGTAGCCAAACTTGACATATGGCCTTCAATTGTCATTGATTATAGATACTGTAAGATCATCTATTTTGAACATTTTTGCCCTTGTGGTTCTCATGTAGTAGACATAGGTCATATCTTAGTATATTGCAATTTCTACATGTGATTATCAGAGATGTGATGCTAGCTACCAGCTTGGCTAGCTTAAAAAAGGCTTGAACTTATTCATGGAAATAGTGGGGATCAATGGCTGTTAGTTTTGATGGGAAGGTGTCTGCTTCTGAGGCCATCTGCTGGGAGATTAGTAAGCTTCTCTTGTGTGATTGGTTGTCCACTGTGAAGACAGAGTGCTGGACAAGATGGGTCAGGTCCAACCCAACAGCTCAATGCTTATGTTTTTACATGAATTGATGAGCCATTTTAATCACCGCTTAAAGACTTAACAAGCAAAAAAAAATGAGATATATATTTAATTTCTCCTGTCAGATTTTTGGACCAATGTAAAACATACTTCTGTAGGCACATTTTGTTTGGCAGTCCTGAGAGTACTCTCACCCAGGTTCTATCTGACATAATGGAGTGCCCACCTGAGATTTAAAACTATTGCTAAACTATACTGTTGTTGAAGTTCTAAAATAACAGTATAATAAGACAACTGGATTTCAGGTTTAGAGCCCAGAGGGAAAAACTTGTAGAGCCTAAATTAATCTCTTTAAACTGTGTTAATAGATTAGGACATTTTTTTTCTTCCCTATTAGTATTTTGGCTATTTTTATTAATTATTTTATACTATTTTGTTTGTATGGTATTAGCATACTTTATATCCAGATGGACAATGACCGTAAATTTTCTTCTTATGAATGAACACTTAAGGATTATAAGGATTTACATTAAATATATATGCATAGGTTTGATAAATATTTGATTTGGATTTGCTGGAATTCTTAATGAAGTTGTTTCTGAAGAGGTTCCTCATCTTCCTTGATATGCAGTTTTTTCTTTTTGTCCAAGGTCTTCTGCAGGGTTAAACGTTTGGGAGGCTTCTTTACTTTTTTTGAATGTGGCTTAACTTACCAGCTTTTCTTCGTTTTGTTTCTTGTTTCCTGCCAAAATTGTCAGAAAATAAACCACGGCTTACTTCTGAATTTTGCTGGCATAATGAGGTCTTTGAGGACAGCATCCCACCTGTACAAGTTTTAAAGTTGTTTCTGTTAAACAATATATAGTTTGGTCATATTAATGCATGCAGAATGACTGTGTCTGATTAAGGACATTTATAAGATTGGAAACTTCAGTACATGTTTAACTTTGGGGCTCTCCTCGTTTGTCAACGGAAAATTTCATATTTAATAACAAGTACAATATGCATTTATTTGGTATGGTATGTGTGCACTTTATTCTTCATGATCTGTACAAGTGTAATAATTAAGAGAGGAGAGTGGGATACTATTAAATTGCGATGAGTGGGTGTTTGTAGGAGACTATGACTTTAGTAAATGGCTGAGAGATGAGTCTTAGTGGAGGGAAATATATCTGGTCTGCACTGGAGCCTGCTGCCTTTTAGCATTTGTTGACATTTCAGTCTTTAACTTGGATTTTGTGCTGCAACGTGGAGCTGTGTCATCAGCCACTCTAGCATACGAGAGGCAATGCCTCAGTTGTTGGGAATCAGGTTGCATCAGCTACTGGCAGCTCTTCCTAGTGGAGCTGATGTGGTTCATCCTGGCAACTCTAGGATTGGTGGCTGTCAAGGGATTTGTTGGGATTTCAGGAATTAAATGCCTTTTGACATTTCTCCTGCTGTGTCTGATAGAAATCTCCCTCTCCATTCTGGGTTTTCTTTATGAAAAGTAGGTAACAATATTAATATTGGGAGCAATATGTTACAAAGGTAATTCTTGGATCTATTGCAAGAGTTCTGTTTTGGATTAATTCTGCCAATCCAGTGCCAGGAAACTGAAGTTTCATGTACTTCTTTCTTGTTCTTAATAATATAGTGATGCTTGGCTGCAAGGAATATTCAATTGTTCATCTAAGAAGCTTGGATGAAATGATGCTGAGCCAGCTATGAATATTTTGCTAATTCATATTTTAAATATCTTTCGGGGGGAATAAAAACTTGTTTATAATATATACCAGTGTAATGTTAAATTTTGCATCAGCCCTGAATTTAACATTTTTAAAACATGACATGTCTTATAACGGCATAAAACTGAAGTACTTGGTATGTTTATAAAATGCAAAAAGTTAATTATCTTGGTTTTTAAAAAATTGATAACTTAAAATGTTCCAGGGCAATGGGGTGGCAAGCCACTGTAAACTAATTCCAATATAACCTAATTTTACATTGGATGGGAGAATAAATGGGAGAGTATGAAAAGAAATACAACAGAAGCAGTCAGAATTTGCCACAGAAGTAAGCAGATGCAATTTCCAGTTTCTGCCAGTAGCCAGGGTATTTCTGGTTCCTAGAAGGCAACATATCCCACTTTCTAAGAATGCTGAGGTCAAGAGACCTTGTGATTGCTGGAGATGCAGTATTGGGGGCCCCAGATTTCTCCTGGTAGAAGAACTGTCCCCTTCCCCAAAGGCCTGTTGACGTGGATCTGAAAAGCAGTCTATCTCCATCCATTGACCAAAGGAACAAGAACCGCTAATTGTCATTAGCCAGTGAGGAAAGAGCCATTTAATCCAAATGAGATATAAAAATCTGTGACTGGTCTACCACCTTGCTCTAACCTTGAAGAATTAGTTTTCTTCCCCCTCTTTTCCTGCCCTTTCTTCATTTGTGTATCTTTAATTTGAAAATTGGACCGCTAACTTCTCTTTGTTGCTCTGATGGAAGCCACTACAAGAGAGTATTGAAAAGCAGGATAACAGCATAATGTTTTCAAAATGTGCAACTTCAGTTCTGCAGTAAATAAAGATTTATGATCTGGCCTTGGTAATAAGATGTATATTAGTATTGATATACTGTAGAAAATACTTTCTGATTTTTAAAGAATAGTTAAATACATTATCAGTGCTTTTAGGTAATCCTATGTCTTCACTATAAATTTTGGCGATGTATGCATATAAAACTGATACTTTAATAATATGCCACATTACTCTTTATTAGGTTTTGGGTTTTATTTATGATAAGTTCCTAAAATGTCACAGGTGCTATCACTTTTAATTTTATGTACATAAAAATAAAAAGGTATACTTTTGGTTTGCTTGGCTAAAACTGTTAGTTCAATCTGCGTATTTGAGGGTGATTTAGTTACCTTCAACTTCTGAAGGTATTTTTCCAATATTATGTGTGGTATGTGTTTTGTCTAAAACCTTAAATAAAAGCATGAAAAAGTCTGTAATTGCTAACCTTACTGAATTTAAGAAATTTGCAACAGTTTAGCTCAGTGGTTCTCAACCTATGGGTCGGGACCCCATTTGGGGTCGAACGACCATTTCACGGGGGTCGCCAAACAAGGCTGTCCGCCATTTTTTTCCCCTTTTCTTTTGCCACGCCCCTGGCACCCGGTGATGTATAAGTGGTTGGGGGTCACCACAACATGGGGAACTGTATTATGGGGTCATGGCATTAGAAAGATTGAGAACCACTGGTTTAGCTAATGTTAACAATATTAGTTTTCAATCTGTTTTGAAAAGAATTCCCCATTGTTCTGCAAAAAGAAAATGCTTGTATGGTTTTTTTTTCATCTTTCCTCCCCATTTCAGTTAGTGCAAGGAGAAAGCCATGCTTTATTTTGAAAGTGGCATTTTCTCACATTTTTTTTTTCTAATTAGCCATAGAATCTCTATTTGATATGCATTGGGAAAATTGTACCGCACAAAATCATTTTGGCTTTCTCTCTCTTTTTTTTTTTTTCTCCTTGCAGGTGTTCTTGGCTGCACCAAGCTTTTGACAATGCTGTGTCGAGTGGCTCTTCTCCCTTCCCTGCGTTCCTCAGGTCGATTCTGGCAGGTGTCTGATGTGGCTGGCTCCCATCCTTGTATGTATGAGAGCGAGAGGACCAGGAGCGGTAATCCTTCTGTTAATAGGATGCATTTGGGCAGAATTGTAGACCTGGTATCTTAATTTCCAATTAGATCACTAAAGGTAGCCAACAACAGCAACATTATTTTGCCTATTGCCAGGGACAATTCTGCCCTCTTGTGTTCTGCTGCAAATTTGATCCTAAAAGCAGAAATGTGACTAATCACAAGTATGGCACCGTCTTTGAAGTTTATTCTAGAGGAAAAGTTCAACACTTCGATGAAACCAGAAAATTATTGTAGGTTTTAGTTTGACTCCCTTATTTGCTTCCTGGGGTCTATTTTCAGGTTTCATAAATACAAATGGATGTAGGTTAGTGACACCTAGGAAGGAATGGAGAGTCTTACTGGAGTTCCTGTTTTTGCAATTAAAAGAAGATGCACTTGAGTATTCAACAAACATTGCTTGTTAAATTTTTGTTTATTAACATTTTTTTAAGATGAGGCAGTTTATGAGGCAGCTTTATATTTAAAAATGTTTTTTAAAATAGAGAAAAACATTTAATGTATTTATTAATCAAATTTATATGGCCACCCATCTTACAAAATGCCACCCTGGACAGTATACAACAATCAAATTGCAATAAATATAAAAACAGGCAATATAGAATCCAGATTAAAATAAAAGTTATAAAAATAACTACAGGTGGTCCTTGAATTAGAACCATTCATTTAGTGACTGTTTGAAGTTACCATGGAACTGAAAAAAGTGACTTGTGACCATTTTTCACACGACGACCGTTACAGTATCCCCATGGTCACGTGATCAGAATTTGGGCACTTGGCAATAGGCATGTATTTATGACAGTTGAACTGTCCCAGGGTCATGTGATCACCATTTGTAACCTTCCCAGCCGGCTTCTGACAAGCAGAGTCAATGGGGCAAGCCAGATTCACTTAACAACCACATGATTCACTTAACAGCTGCAGTGATCTGCTTAACTATAGCAAAAAAGGTCATAAAATGGGGTAAACTCACTTAACAACTGCCTTGCTTAGCAATGGAAATTTTGGGCTCAGTTGTGGTTGTAAGTCAAGGACTACCTGTATACCAACCATAAGGAAAGGGAGGATAAGAACAGGCACCAAGCAATGGAGCCATCTGAACATATCTCCGGTATTTAATTTAATTTAAGTATTTGTTTTAAAAAGTTATTAGAATGTCCTGATATACATGGATAATGAATGGATAATGATAATGAAATACATGGAATGTTTATCTTCCTTTATGAATATTTTGTTTGTGCCCGAGAAGTTACTTTGACAAATGTTTTCTTTGTCAACTTAAAGTCAGACAGGAAATAGTTAGAGAGAGGCTTCCATCTCAGATTTGGAACAGGGAGGAGGAATTGGGAATGATAAATAAGTCCAGCTAATGCTTTTGTTATATTTCAATTGCAGGCTTACTGGCTCCTAACCTGGTGTTGAGAAATAAATCTGCCCGAAGCTGGAGTAATATACCTTTTATCACAGTACCCCTCAGTCGCACCCATGGCAAGTCTTTCGCACATCGCAGCGAGCTAAAGCATGCCAAGAGAATTGTGGTGAAATTAGGGAGCGCTGTTGTTACTCGAGGTGATGAATGTGGCCTAGCCCTGGGGCGACTGGCATCCATCGTTGAGCAGGTAACTTAGCTTAGGTCCTTCACACCTAGCTGATTTATTGATCTAAATTCTAAATCCATGCACCAGCTAAAGTTGGCAGTGTTGGAGTATAAAGGAGGATGCTACACAATAGATTAAATCCATCTTCAGTTAATTGATCATCAGACCCTATTTTAGAATCCTAGAGAACTGACTTCAAGATATAATCATTAACTTCCTCTTGTATTCCCTTTGTTCTAGTTCTTGATATGTTAACTATTTCCCTTTGCTGATTAAACAGTGATGAATGAGGAGTACACAGGCATATGAACATTAATAAGTGTTCATGAGTGTCCTAAATAAGAGAGATGGTATCTTAGAAGTCTCTTCTGGTACCTATTAATGGATAAATTATACTGCTTGAGGATTATTTCAACCCTTTCAGAGGCCAACTATTGTGGGGACGTTGCATTGTTTTATATACTATGCAACATAAGCCTGACCTTGCTCCTCTCAAGAGTGCTTGCAGTTGTGTTTGAAAACTGAAGCAGCATAAAAAGATAGAGGGCTTCTTCTTTTGGGCCCTTAGGTGTCAATGCTGCAGAACCAGGGCCGGGAGATGATGATTGTCACGAGTGGTGCGGTGGCGTTTGGAAAGCAACGGCTCCGTCATGAGATCTTGCTTTCACAGAGTGTGAGGCAGGCTCTCCACTCAGGGCAGAACCAACTCAAAGATATGGTGAGTAACTGGGAAGAGATGCCAAAGTTCTTGGAAATGCTACAGGTGCTGCCATAGCTGACTGATGTGTTCTCTGTAGGCCATTCCTGTGCTGGAGGCTCGAGCCTGTGCTGCTGCTGGTCAGAGTGGGCTGATGGCACTGTACGAGGCTATGTTCACACAATACAGCATCTGTGCAGCTCAGGTAAAACGCTCCGTATACATTTCGTGAAGGCTCTGTTGGGCTGCTAGTGCCAGTCTTTTGAACCTTCATTTTTGCAATAGGTCCTTTTGTACTCTGGTCTAGGAACTCCAGTTCATTCAAGCAAGAGTGTTGTGAGAAACTGCAAAAGGGGTGGGGCTGCACCTTCAACACCAAAGTAGAACAGGCTGCCAAACCCTCCTTATTCTGACCTGCCATACTGAGATGTATGATATTTGCTAATGGTAAATATCAGTCTAAAGATTTGAGAATTTAACAGTCCTTAGGGTTTCATTTTTTTGAGAATGGCAAACACCTTTTTTTAACATTTTTCATTTTCTCTTGTGAAGACCTGAGTGGGTATTTATGTATACCCAATAATTAAGTATATGATTAAGATCATTTACCAGCTAGGCAGTATACTCCAGTTTCTAATTCAGTGGTTTTTTTAAACAACCCAGCAGAGAGGAATTAGAAACAATTTACTGCACTTTAAAACAGACCTGTAAATATTTTTTAAAGTAAACTTACTAGCAAGACACTTTAAACTTTACTAAGTGCTGCTTGAATGCCATGCTGGCCTCTTTCAGGACTTGTTGACTCTTTCTTTACATAGTGGAATACTCTCTATTTGAGCAGCAATTATTGTAATATTTAATAGCCTCGTGAGGTTAGACTCTTCAGACTTTTCCTTTGAGCCTCTTTTTCAAGAATCCCCTCAATTTAAAAAGAAAAAAATGTACAGACTTTTCCCCTCTTGTAGTAAAATATGACTGTGTTGGACTCTGCTGATAGTTTCCTGTTTGCATGTAAGCTTTTGGCTTACGTCAAATATGATTCCTTATTAAGAATTTAGAAACTCTTTAATATTAATATTAAATATCTCTTTAATATTGTACATCATGCTGAAACTGATAGAGGATCATTTTTGTCAGAATATTTTTTCTTTTTATTTTTTCAGATCTTGGTTACTAACCTGGATTTCCATGATGAGCAGAAACGTAGAAATTTAAATGGGACTTTGCATGAGCTGTTACGGATGAATATTGTTCCTATCATCAATACCAATGATGCTGTGGTTCCTCCCCCAGAGCCTAACAGTGACCTGCAGGGGGTAAACGTGGGTAACATCTTTTAGTGGGTGGTTGGTACATGCTTCTTTGTAGATACACCAACATGCTTATTAGTATGGCCATGCGTGTTTTTCAGAAATGCTTTGCATGTGGTGTAGGCGTAATCCTTCTCTGCTTTTCATTAAAGCCTGACTTCAGACTTCCATATGAGCTTGTAAAAAGATGCTGCTGTTTTAAGAATTATATTAACTTATAAATTCTTTCTCCTGCCATCCTAGCAGTTCAAAAGCATGCAAATGCAAGTAGTGCCATTTTGGTGGGACAGTATCAGCACCTTTGCATATAGTCATGCCAGCCACATGACCACAGAAGCGTCTTCGGATAATGCTGACTCTCTCGGCTAAGAAACAAAGATGAGCACCATCTCCTAGAGTCAGACACAACTGGACAGGGGAAACCTTTACTTTTAAAATTTCTTTCAACCAATGATAAGGCTTCCTTCAGAAGTCTGAAAAAAGTTAGGTAACTTTAATGAATAGCAAAGAGTGTTGTGCTCAGATGGTGTCCGAAATCATCTTTCCGAGTCATTTTCAAAGTTGCACATCTAATTGAGTTGCAATGCATGCTGAGACAGGCTTATTGCATAGAGCAGGATGGAACACAGTACAGCTTATGGAAGTAGCAACTTATTCTTTTTGCTGTGACTTACCAGACTGACTGTTGACATGATTCTGATTGAGTCCTCACTATGCAAATGCAAATTGTCCTCAGGGCCACCTCTGTGCTTTGCATTGCTAAGAATTAACTAGACAGACAGTAGCTCTCTTGACTGACCTTTTTTTAATTTGGGTCCTAGGTAATTAGTGTGAAGGACAATGATAGTTTAGCAGCACGGCTAGCTGTGGAAATGAAGACAGACCTGCTAATTGTTCTTTCCGATGTAGAAGGTACAAGATAACTTCATTGCCTGACTAAATTAATAATGTGTTTATGCAATGTCTTGCTTCAGGAAGGGAATGGGGGAGGTGGTTTTGGACTATACAATATTCAAATTGTACCATATTACACAACTTCAGAAGGAAAAAGGAGTGATAGCAGCCTCATGAGCTTTATTTTAGTTCTGCTAAGGCTCTTGCAGTTGGCTAGATACTTGAAACTAATAATGCCACCAGGGAAAAATCAAAGATCCTTCAATTCCGTCTAATGCCATCAGATTCATTTCTATCCTTCCATTTCAGGACTTTTTGATAGTCCTCCGGGGTCAGATGATGCAAAACTCATAGATATATTTTATCCTGGAGACCAGCAGTCTGTGACTTTTGGAACGAAATCTCGAGTGGGAATGGGAGGCATGGAAGCCAAGGTTAGTCAAATTTTCTTTGTACTATTTTCATTTTATCTTCTTCCTAGAAGAAGGATGATACTTAAATAGCTATTTGGAACTTCTGTTGTTACTTTTGTATAAATCTCATAATTTCCTCAAATGGAAAGTTTACTTCTGCATTCTGTTTTTTCTTCTTGAAATGAGACTAAAGCCACAAGCTACCCATATACGAAGATGTATGTGTTTTATAGAAATAAATATAAATATGTTTCTGGTTTCTGTATCTTAGAGAAAAATAATCAGATGGATGACGCATCCTTGGCATATGCCAGAAAGTTATTGAAATAGTTGTTTTCTTCATGTGCATTTCTAAAAATACACTTTTTACAGGTTAAAGCTGCCCTTTGGGCTCTCCAAGGAGGAACTTCAGTTGTGATCGCTAATGGAACACACCCCAAGATCTCTGGCCATGTCATCACAGATATTGTAGAGGGAAAAAAAGTTGGCACATTTTTTTCAGAGGTAAAGCCTGCAGGTAAGTTGGAGCTGTCATAACTATCATCTGTACAGAAAGAAGAATTGCAGTTAAGAAGAATATAACTTTTAGGACACGAGAGACTAATCTTTTCTTGTCTGGTGCCCACGAGGTACTTTGAACCGCAACTCCTAGAATTTTCCCCGTGGGCTGGTTTTTCTAGAAGTTCTAGTCCAAAAATATTGGGAAAGGCAATTGTTAGCCTTTAAGCTATTTGTTCCTTTGACCATGAAAGCCATAAAACCATGGAAGTTCTATTGGCAATAAAAGCATTATGAATAGGTGTCTTGCAGGGGGAAAAAAGGTTTATTTTGGAACATGAGCATGGTATCTATGAATTGGGGAGCATTATAACACTTTCAGAATTTTGAATTTTATACGCACAAAAAAGGAAAGAGGGCAAAAACAAAAACATCTCTCATAAACTTATAAGATAAAACTTGAAAAGGTTGTATAACTAGATCTGATAAATATTAGCTCTGTTCACCTGGCATTTTGTCCTGGCAAACCAATCACATTCAATTCATACATTGCATATTGTTCTTTAAGTGTCTCACTCTTTCTTTTTTGAGGATCTGATCACTTCTTTCCAATCACGGTTTTTCTTAATTTTCCCTTTACTTTACTCCATTTCTTCTTCTTTATGTATTTATTTTCAAATTTCATCCTCATTCTTGTCATTCTATAAGCAAATCACCTCAAGGTACTTCTTTTATACTTTTAACTTTTGTATTCTATTCACATTAATTTAGAAAACATTAATAAATCAATTCATTTTTGACCCTATGACTTAACAGGTTTTTTAATGCATACTGTGTATCTACTGTACAATATTCCCCTTTCATGTTACACCTGGCATATCCAATTCTCTTACATATAATAAAGTGGGCAGTAGCAACACAATCTGATACGTAGACATCTTTGCTTCTTGTAGCATCCACTATTCACAACAGAGTATATAAAATCCACAATCTGCAGACTGTCATGGTTCTGAAAGATGAAACCCATCAAAAGAACTTCAAGGCAAGAATTCTTCCTTAAAGAACATTTTATTCAGGAAACAAAGTATTGGCACTACATAATTGAACCCAAAACTAAATTCCCTTCTCCCCCCCCATACAAAGTAACAAATTGCAATTCCCACCCCCAATAAGCAGTCATAAGTCACTTTCTCCAGTTAGCCTGAAACTCCTTTCTCTCCAGCTCCTCAGCTCGCCAAAACATTATCAGTTCGTCCTTGAGTTCCCACCAAGCAGTGTTATTATTATGGCTAGCTGAGCTCAAACATTCATCCCTCCCCCCCATCTATACCTGATTTCTAAATAGAAGAAAAAGCATGTTAAAAGCAAAGCAGAAATGGTTGCAATTTTCCTTAGTTGTCAGAGCAGAAACATCCAATATTTACAGTGTTGACATAGACCTTAGAATTCATTCATATCTTTTCCCATCCTTTTAAAGTAGACATATTCTTGCTTTAAATTTTCAACATTCATGTATAACTTGCAATTAATCACTCCATTTTTCCTGTTAAAACTAACTATATTTAGTATATTAATTTTCAGATTCATATTCTTTACATCTCTAACATTAGATGCAAATCACTTGGGTTCTCAGCCAATGACATCAGTAATTCACTGTATCTGACAAGGGAGGTTGGTGCGCAAGGTAGTTTCTACATTAGAATGTGCATGAATATACTTGAAGTAAAATTGATTTTTAATTGTGATTGTGGCCTATTGACCAAAATGTGACTGGTATTGTGTCCTTACCATTCATAGCAATCTCTTCATTTAACACATTCTTAATTTTTCGGGAAAATAACAACCATCTCACTGGTTCACAAACTGGTAATGAAAGGAACTGAGGTTAGGGGTAGGGTTAGAGTTGAATCTGTTAACTCTAACTAATCGTGATTTCACTGCTTTGCTGGTTACCGGTTAGCTTCTGGGTTCAATTCAGGATGCTGGTTATCACCTTCATAACAAAGGTCTACTTGTCAGGAGGCACTACCTGCCTCTTGTCATTTCTATCAATCCAGGACAATCCAGTGCCAAGGATCCAAGGTAGGACCCAGAAACATACTTATCTTGTTACAGCACCTGTCCTTAGGAATGACACCTTCCCACAGATTCATGTGTCTTTCACCCTTACGACATTCAGGAAACTTTTAAAATCCTGGTTGTTGACCCAGGCTCTGGATTAGGCTGGTTGTAGAGCCCTTTTTTGGTAGGTTAGTTTAGGACTGGGTGTTTTGTTTTGATAATTGGGTCCTTACATTCTCCAATTTATAATAAGTATTAAATATGATTACATTTTAAAAATTGTATCCTTGTAGTACATCATGGAATTAAATATCGATATTTACCATATAATGTTCTTTGTTTGGTTTTAAAAGGTCCAACAGTAGAACAGCAGGCAGAAATGGCTCGAACAGGAGGAAGAAGTTTGGCAGCACTGCAACCTGAGCAGGTATTTATTCCAGTTGTAACACCAAACAGTGTAACTCTTCCAAATATATTGTAAGTGTTTGTGGCTCAATAGCACTACAATAGTCCTCTATTTATGATCAAAATTGGAGCCAGAATTTCCATTTTCAACAAGGCAGCCATTAAATGACTTGTGCTCGATCTTACTTTTTGCTATAGTTGTTAAGCAGATCACTTCAGTTGTTAAGCAACTCACACAGTTGTTAAGAGAATCCAGCTTCCCCCATAGATTGTGCTTGTTGTAAGCCAGCTGAGAAGTTCGCAAATGGTGATCATGTGACTCTGGGACTCTCTATCTGTCATTAATAACATGCCAATTGCCACACACCTCAATTGTCATCATGTGACCCTGGGCCTGTTGAGTATGGTTGTAAGCGCAAGGACTGGTCATAAGTCACTTTTTTCAGTGCTGTTGTAACTTCGGTTGCTGGATGATTGCAAGTTGAAGACTATCTGTATACAAGAATAAATCTTGCAGAAATGTTAATACGTAATTTTCTCTATACAAATGAAGGTATTTATATTCTTGTACTGGGACTTTCCCTAATCTGGTAGTCCTCTCAGATGTGTTGGAGAACACCATTTGTAATTCCCATGCAGTCATGGTGGATGGAAATGATAGAAAATATTTTGAGAGGGCACACATTTGCGAAAGGCTGAAATTGGGTTCTTTTTATGCACCTTCCATGGAGAATGCCATCGATGGCATCTTAATGTATCTGCCTCCAAGAAAAAGCAAAGTAGTAGCAAAGCCCAGGAATCGCCCTTTCAGGATATTTGCAACAGTTGCTCTCCACTGAGAAAGCAGAAGGTAGTGAAGTTTTATTTAAGCCCATGGACCAGGTGGGGTGTCCTAACAGTTCAGATTTTATGTACGGACAGAAGCTGACCATTTCTAGCACTGGGTGTGGTCTGCACAAATAATGATCAAGGGAATTGTATTTGACTAAATTCAAGCTACAGAAAGATAAGTTATCAAAAACTACCTGCAATAACATGGCTGATGGCTCCCTGTTCATCATACTACAGAGAGCTGAGATCATCTTTCACCTTGCTGATCTTCTGACCGACCAAAGAGAAGAGATTCTTCAGGCTAACAAAAAGGATCTGGAAGAGGCTGAGAATAAAGGTACTGTGGAAAGGTTCAGGAAGCTTAACATTGTTTATGGAATAGGAATGATTTTTCACAAGAATAAGGCATTTTTGAGATTGATTATTTTTTGTTTTCACACCCTGTGGAGATTGATAAAGCAACCTGCAAGCACTCAGAAATATTTGACCAAATTTCCTTGAAACTTTAGAGTCCTAATTCTTTTTTTGGAGGTGGGGGGGGAAAGCTTTTCATAAATTAGGAATTGGCTGTTTTGATGGCTGCAGATGTGATCACTGCCATATTGGTATTGGTCACTTGTAATATTCCAGACATAAACCCTATCAGTGATACACGATTCTCTGGCATCATTTAACCACTGTGGGGTTAACATCTCCTTGTCCTTTCTTCCTGAATATGTTCTTTTGCACACTTTGTATTAGCCATTGAAAGTAAGAAAAAGAATCTTCCATTTTGGAATGAGTAACTACACCCCCTATTTCAGGAATGGGAAAGATTTCTTCCCTGCTGTTTATTTTACCTTTCCCATAGTTGCCTCACTGTTGATCACATTTAACTATTGCAATCTGATCTGTGCCTTTTGATTTCTGATTCCATTTCAGGGAGATTGGCTCTGCCTTTGTTAAAGAGACTCAGTCTATCAACTTCCAAGCTGAACAGTTTGGCCATTGGATTGCGTCAGATTGCTGCATCCTCACAAGATAGTGTTGGCCGTGTCCTTAGAAAGACAAGAATAGCAAAGGACTTGGAACTTGAGCAAGTGACTGTGCCTATTGGGGTCTTGCTGGTGATTTTTGAATCCCGCCCTGATTGCCTTCCCCAGGTATGGTCTCATTTTTATCAGTAGTAATACTGTTTATTGTGAAATGGAAACATACCTTTATTCATGAAACACACTTTCTTTATCACTTCTTTGATAATTCTTTTGGCTCTTCAAAATAGAATTTCAGTCTCAAACTCATATGCTTGTACAGTATATATTTAATTTATGATGCAGATCTTCCCCTAGTAGATTCATAATACCTTTAGTATTTATCCAATAACTAGGAAATGTGTCTGAGAATTCTTGGAAATTTGGTGTAATATATCTCAAGAGTGCCAGATTGAAAGAGGCTCTTTAGATCAGTGGTTCTCAACCTGTGGGTCGGGACCCCATTTGGGGTCGAACGACCATTTCACGGGGGTCGCCAAAAAAGGCTGTCCGCCATTTTTTCCCCTTTTCTTTGGCCACGCCCCTGGCACCCGGTGATGTATAAGTGGTTGGGGGTCACCACAACATGGGGAACTGTATTATGGGGTCGCGGCATTAGAAAGGTTGAGAACCACTGCTTTAGATAGATTAAAATGGTAATGTGATCCATTCTTTACTGTTCTTATTATGTTGGTCTCTCGTTTCCTGACAGGTGTCTGCTTTGGCTATTGCTAGTGGGAATGGTCTGTTGCTTAAAGGAGGCAAAGAGGCTTCACACAGTAATCAAATCCTTCACCATCTGACTCAAGAAGCACTTTCAATTCATGGGGTGAAGGATGCAGTGCAACTGGTGAGAGCTTAGGAACACAATATAGGATAACTCCAGTGGGGAAAGGTATTGTAAGAAAAGGAAACCTCAAATTGATATCAAAATCAGATGTATTTTTGAAAGAAGAGTACAAGTAGCATAATATTGCCTTTTTTCTGTTTTTAAGAAAAGTTTGATACCTGGAAATTAATATTTGGATGAGGAAATAAAGATAGGATTAGTGATAGTAAAAGTTTCAACAAAGTTCTTTGTTGGATATTATGTCACAGAATATTACATCTGGAACATATTTTTTTGTTCTGTTAATTGCAGTGTTTTGTTGGAATGCTGCATCAAAAAATTACAGGTAGTCACAGCTTAAGGATTTGTGAAGTGCAAGGAATTTTTTTTTGGAACAGGCAAGAATTGTGAAAATGTTCTTCATTTGAGGCTGTGCTTTTCCACTTGAGAATTTGTGATTGCTTGCACAGGTTATTCCAGACGCTTCTCTAAAGCTGTCTTGTTTTTAACAAGCTTGTTGTTCACAGTTGTATACATCAAGCTTCCAAAATCAAATAGAATGAATAATAAGAACAATGTTTATATGCAACTTTTATTTTCAAAATTTCAAAGTGATTTCAGTCACTTATATATGAGTTGAGCAGCTATATAAATTTGTTTAATAATAATAATTTACAGTGCTAACAAAAGGATACATTTAAAACATCATAGCATAGGATGAAATAAAAATAAAAATACCTCGTAAAGGAGAATTTAACCACTGTGGTGGCTGATAAAGTAATTTAAAAATAGCTAAAATATATTTGCGTAGGGTCCTGACAAAAATATTTTTGTTAATTTATTTTGTATTTAGCCTCATGATGAATGTTCACTCATTATAGAATTCATTTGTATATATTTATATATAAATATATGCATGTATATGTATATGAATGCACACAAACACTAATATTTGTGACTTGACTGGCTTGGTTTTTACAGGTGAATACCAGAGAGGAAGTGGAAGATCTTTGCCGATTAGATAAACTAATAGATTTGATCATTCCCCGTGGCTCTTCTCAGCTGGTTCGGGATATCCAAAAAGCAGCCAAAGGAATCCCAGTGATGGGGCACAGTGAAGGGATTTGCCATGTGTATGTGGATTTGGAAGCCAGTGTTGAGAAAGTTACTAGAATAGGTGAGAGATTTTATTTCTTAAAGGTAAGCATGGAAGAGCTGAAGTATCCTCAAGTCTCTACTTATCTATCTCTATATGTTTGATGTTATAGAGTAGCCTTGTGCTCCTAATGTACAGTAAAACTTCAAAAGTCCTAAATATAGGAGCAATACAGATAGTCCTCAACTTACAATCGTAATTGAGCCTGTAATTATAGGCGTAAATTGTTGCAATCATATGTAGAGGCACCCACATGACCAGAAGTAATTTTCTGTCCTTTTTTGTGGCCATTCATTTGGACATTTTTTTGCCAGAAATTGGCAAAAAGTATTGTGAATTGCTCTCACATGACTGCAGAATGCTACAACCAGTCATAAAACTGACCCATCCAAAAGCTGTCATGTGACACCTGGAAGTGCTTTACAGGCTGTAAAGTAGCCATTTCATGACCATTATAACTTCAAATGGTTGTAAAACAACTGTTTGTTAAGCAAGCTACACATCTGGAGAGTGCCACTCTGTAGGAAGATTGTTTTCAAGTTATCTTTAAACATGCCATTAAACCAATTATCTATTCTTCCTCCAGTGAGAGATTCAAAATGTGAATATCCTGCAGCCTGCAATGCTTTGGAGACACTGCTAATACATCGGGATTTGCTGAGAACTCCTGTATTTGATCAGATTATTGACATGTTGCGGGTGGAACAGGCAAGTGAAAATGCTTTCCAATGTAGGTTAAGTGCAAAAAATTGGCTGTGCAGTGTGGCGTGCTGTCTAAAAGATGACACTATTGATGCATATACTGAGAAATTTCTAAATGCAGTGAGATGTACATATCATATTCAGCAAACTAGTAATAGCGTTTGTTTGCCCTGATAGCACATATTGATTGAAACCTGGCTTTCTAATAGTGCATCTTAGCTTTGGGATTCTCAGGACGCCTGCAGTCCTATTTAGACTGGAAACAATTGAGGATATTTGAAAATGAGGTTCTTTTGGATGGTACTGAGTCCAGGTCCTTGGAAACACAGAATTCTTCAATAAAAATTTGTTGGTTATTGTGTAATATTCTTGGAACCAGATTATTGTGCTAAGTAGTGAAAGAATTTTATTTATAACTTCAGAGGCTGAGAGCTTGATTGAAAGAAACAACTATGAACTAGCCTCACAAATGAGACAGAAATTCTTCATCTAGGTTACTATGTAAAAGTTCATGTCTGAAAATATTTGATCCAATGCTGAGAGATTTTTTTTCCAGAAAAACATAGAGAAGAATATAAGGTGTTGCCCAAAGCCAAATTAATGTGTGCAGCCTGGGAATACTGAGAGGTGCAGTCCAAGTGCATCTGGAAGATCCCAGGTTAGAGAAGGCTGATCTTCACTGATTGGTGAGGCTCTCTAAAGTTTCAGACATAGACTTTTCAGGCTCTATCTGGAAATGCCACTGATTGAGTTGGGTAGTCTGCATGCAAACACAAGACACCCAGCACTCTAGTCACCTTGGCTGCATTCACACGTCACTCTCTGGATAACTTAGTGCCAATCATCCTTTCATCCTGGCTTACCTTACAAGGTCAATGACGGGGGTAAAATAATCCCTCATGTAAGCCACTTTGAGCTCATGGAGAACAGGCATAATATAAATTTAACAAATAATGTAATAATATTTGGTTGTATGAAAACACACTCAGTAACCTCCCGTGACTTGTAGTTTAGTAAGATGTGCAAACCCAATTAAGGCTTACTTCACCAATCATGATTAGGCAAGTGATTGTATAATGTGTGAATTGGGTTATGTACATAGCCAAAATGTTTTGCACAGAAAGTGCTTAGAAAAAGAATGTGCAGTAAAGTGTATTTGTCTTTCATTAGGTCAAGGTACATGCTGGGCCCAAATTTGCCTCCTATCTGACGTTTAGCCCTTCAGAAGTGAAATCACTTCGCACAGAATATGGAGACCTGGAATGCTGCATTGAAGTGGTGGACAGTGTACAAGATGCTATTGAGCACATTCATAAATATGGGAGCTCCCACACAGATGTAATCATCACAGAGAATGGTTAGTGGCAAAATCGACTCCTCTGGTGCATTAAAATGCATGTGTCTGTGTGAGGGTTTCAGGGTGGCATCAGTTGGTGCAAAGGCTGCTTCTGAAGTTCCTGTTTAAGATGGTGATAATTCCCCATAATGTCTGCCTGTCTTCCCTTGCACTTGAAGATGTGGGCCACAACCAAATCCTAATCATGCCATCATGACATCACAAAACAAGCTCTGTCCTTTTGTACTTCCCTCACAACCTCATATATAGAGTTATGCAAGGGCAAAGTTTGCATCATAATGCCACAATGTGTACTTGCCCCCCGCCTCCTAGTCTCCTCTGCCATTGCCTCTGGCTACACCAGCTTCCTCTCTAAATTTCTAGTCCCAGATCTGTAAGCAAGGCTCCCAAGAAAAAATGCTCTTGTCACCTTCCTTGATAATGGCCGGCATTTCCTAATGTTTCCAGAGAAGCACAGATGGAATATGTTGTGGCATCCTTATCCCATGAGTAACATCTGAAAGAGGCCTCCCTGTGACTTGTTTTTAATTATTTCTCTCCAAGGCTGCTCCCTTTTGCTAGAACTTTCATGTGCCCATTGTTCCATGCTTCTTCCACTGACAGAATGATCATTCTTTGGGATGCATCCCTCGGTTTGGCCAAAACAATGTATTCACATACAAACTGGGAGTGATCGGCAGTGCTTGGAGCTGGTACTTTGAGTACTTTTAATACTTTTAGAAGAGACACATGAAGAGAGGGATGTCTTCAGTGAGAATTTAGTGCAGCCACAGATATTTGGGTGAGAAATCCTGAAAGAAGGCATAGCTGTCTGGCCTTCATCCAGGATAGGAACATTGGAACATTTTGTTGCAGGTTCTATTTTCAGAAAGATAATCATCTACAACAAAATGTCTGTTCCTTAGTTGCAAGCATAGTGCAAGCTATCTTAGCATCACATTAATGAAAAAAAAAATAGATACAACACATAGAACAAGTTTAAAGAAGGGATTTTTGCTGAATTAGAATTGCCCACAGCAACATAATGCTATTACGAAACAGGTTGTTCAATAAAAATGATTATTTTTCCCTTGGTCATCTTCAGAGAAAACAGCAGAGTTATTCCTACAGCACCTGGATAGTGCGTGTGTGTTCTGGAATGCCAGCACCCGCTTCTCAGATGGCTATCGCTTTGGGCTGGGTAAGGCAAAATGTTATCTTGAGGTTAAATCTATCTGTATTTCAAGTACAATAAACTTTTCTTTCTGACATTTGATATTCTAAGGGGATTTGTTAAACTGCCTTGAAAAGCTTTGGGATATTTTAGTATTAAGCCAAAATGCAGGAAGAATCTTGATGAGGTGGAGGTTATGCAAGGAGCAGAGTACTTAAAATCAGTATAGGAAGTTGCTACAATGCCCTGTTCAGGAAGTATTGTGGGAAAGATGTAATTGAACCAGTGCATAATCAAGAAGCAACTGTCAACAGTAGCCTGTAATAATCAGAGTATGACATGAATGATAAAGAGCTGTAGATGAAAATATGTAGGTGTTTAGCATGAGAATGTAATTTTAATAGAAATATACCAGATATAAATTACTGGCTGAAAATATTTAGCTGCTTTTCATTTAGCACTGTGTTAGAAAAGGAACCCTGGTAACACGAGTAAGGAGGAACACTTAAGAAGGAGAGAACAATCTGACAAGTCAAAAGATAGAAATGAGTACATGCTGGCAAGATTTTAAAATGAGGGAAAACATGATCTGGATAACATGGCCTGTAACATTACAAAGTTTTTCCCCCCTGTTCTGTTTCTCTCTTTTTAAATCCATTTTTGTTCTATCTTTCCTCCTCAGGTGCTGAGGTGGGCATCAGCACATCACGGATCCATGCCCGTGGGCCAGTGGGAATTGAGGGGCTCTTGACGACTAAGTGGCTGCTACGTGGAGACAACCACATTGTTTCTGACTTTTCTGAGCAAGGGAGCATGAAATACCTTCATGAAAACCTTCCCATTCCACAAAGGAATACTAACTGAAAATCTAGTGAAGAGTATGGTACTTATAGGGCTGTTGTTATTTCAGAACCTAGCCTGGGAAGGAAATGAGCCTTCTCTAGGTATGCAGAGGTTTCTGCACTTTTAGCTTTAAGTGTGCTCAGGAGTGTGGAAAGTGGGGTTCTCTGCTTTAGTCCCCCCCCGCCCTCCCGACTCAACTACATTATGTAGGTGACACATGCAGATGCATACAGGACCTCTTGCGGTGCAGGAAAAAGAATTTTTGATCTTTCTTTAATGATGATGATGATGTGCCATCAAGTCTTTCTCATAGTTCACTCCAAATCACTGGGAAGTTTTTGGCTAGTAACAGAACTGAATGCCTTTTTTCCCTGAAGCTTTTCTTGCTTTGGGAAAAACATTGGGGAATTTTTTTTCTTTCTCCTTCTCTAGAGATTTGTAGCAACTTATTTTAATTTTTAAAAGTGCTCCATCGGTTCATGTCTTATTTAATATATTGAACTACCTTAATAAATATTCCAGGTACAAAATGAATGGTCTTTATCCTCCAAACATTTTTCATGCCTAGTATCCTTTAATTACTGACTGCCTTGTGGGATAAGAGGCTAGGGCAATGATATCAGGGTTTTCACTATGACCCTTTTATGAATATTTGTATCAAATATTTTGTTCATGAATTTTATATAGAATTTTATTTCCCCTGAGACAGAAACATATTTTTCAAATATCATGGTTTTGCAAATAAAACTCCCTTGCAATAAAATTATGGATTCAACCATTTTGTTTGCAATATATTGTGTTGTATTAGTGATGGGTAACACATTTATGTAGCTTGCAATACACATTGTGGAGTTGTACTTGATTAGCACTCACATTTTTGTTTGACAAAATCATTTTAATCTTTCAAGCTCGCATAAACCTTATGAGCTAAGTGGTAATTGTTTCTATTTTGAATACATCATTCAGAGCAAGATTCTGATTTGTCCATATTAGCAAGCTTCCAACTGAACCATGAAGCTATGTTTTTGAGATCCAATATTGGCACTTGATCTTCTGAACTGGACTACTTTCATTGCATCTCTCACAGGCTTAATTCATGGTAGATCTCAGTTTAATTTCCCACATAGTAAAGTTGTGTATCAATGTGTACATTCCTGTTTTTTGCTTGATTAGAAAATCCAGTGAAAACTATTTCCAAGGAAGGTTTTTATCCGGAGCTATAAAAACGTCTTGAAAATGTTCTGACCCTTAATTTTTATATTTCAGATATTTATAACCTATGTCAGATATTTATAACCTATTATTCCTACACATTCCATATAAGAGAAGATAATACTTAATCTAGTCTCCATTATGTAATGCCCAAACAGAATTCATTTTGTGTTCCCTGACTTAAAAAAACTATATTTTGACAGGATTTGATGTATTTGATATATTTGATGTACATTCTTCCAATGGTAGATAGCTATAAGAAAAGTACAGTCGTGATGCTCCTAGTATGGGAAGGAATCAGTTTTGTTTTGAACATGGATGTACTGGGCTTTGTTGCCTACTGGCCTTAATCCTCTCCTAACTCATTGGTTGTGGGAGTGGATCTTAGTTCTTTCCCTAAACAGGGAAAGGACACTGGCAATTTTAGTAGATGTGTGTATGTAGTTTTGTGCCATTTCTTCAAACTGAGTCTCCATTTAATTGCCACATGTGTTTTCCTAACCTGTTGGTTTTCTTTATGTTTGATAACATACTGCAAACTTGTTACATATACTGTTTGTTTTCCCATATATTCACATGCCTGGTATCTGATTTATGCTGTTTGCACAAAAATTACCTTTGGAGAAATCATTGAGAGAATGTGCACAACTACTCTTCCAAAGTACCAACTTTGGAATGTTTGTTCATTTATTCATGTCAAAAGCATCACAATTAAAATAAGGCATACTATACGACATAAAATTTACAATATAAAATACAAGATTAAAATATGTACAAATTAAATCTTGCCCTGAAACTAGCAACATTAATTGCATTCTGTCATGTACACTAATTGGGACACAAAGGGCAGGTACACATATGTGTTGTTGTCTGCATATCACCACAATCGCAAAGAACAGAAGTCAACAGAGAGCCCTATTTGTTCAGAGTGTCTCTGGATCTTGATGTACTCGTGTGGAGTCAATCCAACGATTTCCATACTTCTCAGCTTTTATCAGTCTCTGCTGAGCTGGTTGTAGGCCATAGAGAACAGAGAATTTTGGAATGATTTTACATCAAGATTGTTTTATTTTCTTGCTGATCTTAATATTTTTCAAATGCTGCCTTATTAATCGTATGAATTTAAAATTATTTAGAATTCTATTTTTAATGTAAAAATTTGTGGGAATCTTATGGGTTGATTTGAAAATAAGTGAAGTAGCTATAAAAATATCCAATATAATTTAGATATCCATGTGTGTATTAATTGGTTTCTTCGTTATGCACTTTCTGACAAGTGAAGAAGCTGAAGAAGAAATATCCACCATTCTGTAACATCAAGTGACACAAAAGGACTTCTTTTTACCTTGTACTAAATGGTTCCTTTGTGGATTGGTAAAGTTAATTATTGATTATGTGCCATCAGGTCATTTTTTATTTCAAGTGACTACATAGATTTTCTTTATGACAATCTCTACCTAATCTGATATTTCAGATCTTCCAATATTACACTCATTGCCACTGTAACTGAGCCTGTTTACTTAGCTGCAGATCATCCTTTGCTTGTCCTGCCTGGTAAATACTTATAGTTTAGTTCTGAAATTGCTGTGTCACTATCTAGCTGTTTTGGATAAGTACAGGATTCCATACACCAGGTGTTAGAATCAGTGGTTTTTTTCTATAAAAAAAAAAAAAAGTGCTGGAACTCACATCATACAACCCGCCTTGCCTATCCTACAAGGTTCCATCCAAAGAAGGTGCCAGAACTCTGTTCTGGGTGTTCTATGAGAAAAAAAGCCCTGCATTATATAATCATTTTTCTAGTGATTATAAAGTTTTCAACATATTAGCTTGAGTTTGATAAATGTTGACACATTGATATTATGGTCAAGATCACTCTTATCCAGCACTGTATCAGCTGCTTTGTTGTGTTAGTGTGATCTTGCAGCATGCTTATGCTATAAACATAGCTTATGCTACCCCTGTAGCCTTGAGGAGTCTTATTGCTTCTATTTATTAATCTGAAGCTAGACTGAAGTGACCTGAACTGAATATTAAGCGATTCACTTAATGGTGGAAAGAAAAGTTGTAAAATGGGGCAAAACTCAATAAATGTCTCACTTAGCAACATAAATTCTGGGTTCAATTGTGGCTGTAAGTCAAGGACTAATGTAATGACCCAGGGCCCTGAACAGAGGCAAAGCAATCAGCTGGCCAGAGCAATAGTCTTTTTAATCACTGCCAATGTTTACCCAACAGCCCCCACATATGCTGGCACGAGTTCAAACAAAACAGCCAGGGAAGTTTACACTGTTCTTAAGCAAGACAGATAACAAGCAAACGTATAATCCTTTTAACTCCCAGCTTGCCTGTGAACTGAGAACTGCAGACTTCAAGGAGAGATCAGCAGGAAGCAAACTGGTCCAGAATACAAAGTGTCCAGGTTACAAGAGCACACTATCTCAAGATTTCACGTTTGTTCCCAGCAAATGCCCCACCCCACAGCATCTCCTTAAATCCTACTCCCCAGGTGTACCTTGTGGAGTGGGGCGGGACGCTCTCCTCCAGAGCAAGTGAGCCTGCCTCCGTTGTTCCCTCTTCTCTGCTCTCCTTGCTCTAGGATCAGGCGGAGAGGGGCCTTGCTCCTCGCCTGAACTCTGCCTTCCTTGTTCCAAACCTGAAGGGCCCTGGCCTGCCTCAACCTGCTCCTCCCCACAGTCCTCTGAAGCCACAGACACCCCTTCCTGGGCCTCAACAGGGAACTCCATGGCTTCCTCAGAGTCAGGCTCGGACAGAGGCATGACAACTACCGGTACCCGTACTTGCCCAAATACTTGGAAATGCCCATTGGATTTTAACACTGAGGGGTCTCCGAATATTCAATAGCAACTTGAGAATCCAGCAATACAAACATATAGAATAGATCTCGATCTCTCTCTAAAGAATATTTTACGTTCCACCAACCATATATTGTAATGTGCCAGTTTCTGAGACTCTTTTCTCTTGCCCTCTCACATAACTGTAATTGTAATATTATTGATTTGTTCTTCTTTTTATCCAACTATTTTCTAAAGTTTGATTCAATCATTCTAGGTCTATTACCGCTGCTTCTTTGAACAATTTGCTTGACTCTAGAGATGGAAATACATGCTTTCTACCCAAAAGTAATACAATAGTTGATGGCTCATCTCTGAATGGGTTTTTGTTTTGAACATGTGGTAACAGAAGCACTATGACTACCCAATCATCCCCAAGGGAGTCTACAAAAAAAATCAGGATGGGTTTATAACTTTGCCAAAGGGCAAAAATCCTCAGCCTGCTTCAGTCCTTCTCTTAGTTCCAGACTCCTGTAAGAGTGCTATTTCCTGGTTCTGAGAAACATCCATTTCTTCTGCTCTCCAGAAAGTATATGTTCTTTATTCATTCTAGTTTATTTTCTTCTCAATTAGTACACAATCTAGAGAGGGTCTTTTGTTTCCAGGTTAATGCTGCAGGTTAATACTATTATTATTCTATAAGGCTATGTTCAGGCTCAAATCAATCTGCTGCAATTTTAGAGAAGGGTGAAACAGTCTGTAATATAATCCTTGAGGCTGCCAGCAGAATAAATATAGCACCGTGCACAGATGGCTGCAGAACAAGGGATCCAGTTAATCTACCCTTATGCTAATTTTGGGTATCCCTATTTCCAGTTCTTCTCAGCTCCTCCCCAAGAAATCTTCAGCACACTTCTTTTGCTGTGATACTGTCATTCACCACCAAATGTCCCTCTGCAAGGTCACTGATTCTTTATTCGTTAGCAATTCTAGGTCAGCCTGCTGTGAGAGTCTCCTCAGCCAAGAGAGAATCACGTTCTGTATCAATGTCTCCAGACAACAGCCCTTCCCAAGCTTTCAGCAAGGCCAATTGCTGAGAATCCCTGTCTTTGATGATCCTTCGGAGGACCTGTATAAATACTTTGAGCATTGCAGTGATGCCATAGAAGACATCATTCAAAGAGGTGGGAAGTGCTTAGTGTACTGTAAAAATGGTCGCAGCAGATCTGCAACTATCTGCACCGCTTACTTGATGAAGCATCAAAAGCTCAGGCTGAAGGATGCCTTTGAGGTACTGTGAGCATGCTGAAAATAAAAATTACTACTGTATCTGATTAAATGGACTTCTACTTTGGTGGTGTATGAAATACTTAAATATTTAACTGGATAGAATACATTGGCCATCTCAGTAACAATGATTCAGCATTTTGTTTTATAAAGGAACTTAATGAAAATGCCAGAATACCACTGTATTATGTCAATAGCTAATTTAAATCTCTGATTAGCTTAAAATCTGATTAACTCCAATCTGATTTGAAGTGAAAAATATCCATAAAATGAAATTTGTCAGCTTAATTGATGAAAGTTTGTACTTCAACAGTTATGTACTGTAATACTTTGTTAATGCCAGACATTTCAGAAATAGCCTTTCTATGCTTTTACTTGCAAGCTCATTTCTGAGAAACGTCATATTTCCATATTTTTATTGGATAAAGAGCAAAATAATTCATTTTCCCCCATCCTGAGATTCAAAGTTATCGTCTGCTATCAGAGTCCAGTTTTTGTGTTGTTTCTAAAACTTGTCTGAGCAACAATGTGAAAAAAGAAATGTGTGGATATGAGAGATGTTGATGCTTGAATCAAATTTCCAACTTCCTTTAATAATAATGTCTGACTCCAGAATTAGTGCAGCCTTCAATGTTGGGGGTATATGTATTTTCCTTAGTATTTCTTGAAAGCATTTCATTACCTTTATTTTATACAATCCAATTCATAAATGGTGAGTATGAATTCCTGCTTCTTTGCCTAACACAATTTAATATTTTTCTTTTTTGCAAATTGCAGTTCACTAAGTCACAGAAGGCTAAGCATCTAAATGTTGAGTTTATCCAATTCAAATCTACCTTCACCTCCAAATCCACTGATTATGCCTCTGTAACCCTTGGTAATTGACTTCCACCAGAAAGAAAGAAAGAAAGAAAATGACAAAAGGAGGAAATGAGGAGGGAAGTAACACCCTCCCAACAAAAAATAAGTTGATCTAGCAAACTGCCTTCTAATTTCCCTAGCCCTGCCAGAGCTATTGGGAAAAACAACAACCAGAAATTTGCCTTATTTCACTTCTTCTCTTTCTGCCTTAGCATTGTTTGCACTGGTTAGTAATAGATCTTAGGTGTGGTGGCATCTTCCCTCTCACTGCAATTTTATTCTTTTCATTAGAAATGATTGGGATGGGACCTTGGACCTTTTATATGCAAAATATTTGTTCTACCACTGAACTGTAACATTTTCCTATAATAATTGCATGCTATGTTTTTTATAATTTTAGCACAAAGGGTTTGGGAGGAAAAGTCCTTATGAACAATGCAATGTGCTTTCCCCCCTACCTTATAGATTGTGAAGAATGCCAGGCCAACGGCAGAGCCTAATGCAGGATTTTGGTCTCAGCTACAGAAATATGAAGACCATTTGCAAAGACAGCAGCAAAGAACTCTTTCTTCAAATACAATTTCTCATAATAAATACATTGATTCAGATTATAATGTTGGGAAATCCCTTTAAAGAGGAAGACTTGAGATACTTCTAGGTAACACCTGAATTTAATATACTAAAAAAAAAAGCCCTGGGATCAGCTACTTTATTATTGTAGTCTTAAGAAACTAGCTGAAAACCTAAGTTAAAACCTTTCAATAAGGCAAAATTCAAATCTCTGTAACCTGCTCAAATTTAAGACTAATTAAATGCAGCTAATTTAGTGTTACTCAAGGTCATAGGAAGAAGGCAGTAGCAATTTCCCAAAAATGTTGCCAAGAAAACAGGATGGTTTTGTCCATCCAGTTCCCAGGAGTTAATAATGACTTGATACCTCTTATCTATCAGCTATCTTTATTGATATATATTTGAAAAATCAAAATTAGCTCCTTCCCAGATACTGTTTTTAATATACTCTCAATCCTCCAGAGTTTTAAGTAACTTTATTCTGCAAATTATCATTTTTATAAAGTCCCAAAATAATGTGACATAGTACATTTAGCAAACTAGGAAAGAGATGTCATTTTACATGATTATGTGATTTAAATAATTTTCATGAAAAAAATCATATACCATAATGTTTATTATAAAATTCAGCACTAAAATCATAAACTAATTAAGGGCCTTTCCCCACTGTTGAGCTGAAATGCCATTCATCTATCTTTGAGTGGGCAGAAAACTTTTATTTTCTTTCTCACTTGCCAGTCCCTTCCTGAACCTTCCTCCAAGCTCTTCAGGGTGGGTTACAAATCCCAACAGATTTTGTGCATCTTGAGTTTGTTCTTAGTGTCAGAATAGGAGGAAAACACAATATTAACACCAATACTGCTAAGGACAATTTAAATGTTTTGACTGACAATAAGATGATGGCAGATATTGCTAGGGCATAGTGCTATGAAAAGACACAAATGGGAGAAACACTAAGATAAATGTTACAGAGGAAGAGATGTGTTAGGGCTATGCAAAAGTGTTAGACAAAGATGCTTCACAAACTGTGTCAAGGATAAGTGAAGCCCCCCTCCATGAAATATTAAAGCATTACATTCTTTAGAATGCTTTGCAGCTGCTTCAAGAGCTACTTTTTTTTTTTATTTTGATGGCCCTAGGTTCTTGGTTTACCTTCCTAATAAGCAACCAAGTGAGAAGATCATTTAAACACCATCTATTACGGTATCCTGATAAAGTGAGATCTCCCTATGAACAGGAGAACCTTGAGACCCATCTTACATTCTTTTTTAAAATTAACACAACAAAGAAAAATGAAAGAGGAAAATTGGTTGGACAAGATAAGAATAACCACTCCTTGCACAATAAACCAACCACAAAGCTTGTTTAAAGTTAGATAACCAGATGGCAGTTGACACTAAGAAACTTTTTCTTATCAGGAGATAGTATCCAGCCATCCTTCTGTAATTTATCTTTTTGCTTTAGGAATCTTAGAAGCTATCTAATCAATCCATTCAACCATAGGATAAAGGTTTTCCTACATCCCAATCTGTAATGAATCTGAATATTATTTTAAGAGAGAAAATAAGTCAAATTAAAATACAAAACATTATGTGTTAGTTAACAAATTACAAAATCCATGTCATATGCCCCTCAGTTTCTGTATTGAATGTGCACATACACAGTACCAGGCAACCAGGGAAGGTTTTTCAACAACTGTTGCAAGCCTTCCATAGGATGCAATGGATGCTTTAACAGTTGAAGGCGGTATGGGTTATACACATTAGCGTACCTTTCAAAAGTGCCTTTTGAAAAGTTTGCATAGCATTGTTTTGATTGGCTTAGAAAATGTGAATATGTTTTAAATAAAATGTTACGGTAAACTTAATCTTTGATAGGTATGACTGTCTTAGCCTGTTTGATGTAAATTTGTGGTTCATTAACTGTTCCTGAAGCTGCATAATGATATCCATGTTCTCTGTAATTAAAAATAGAGATAAATATATTATATTTTCCACTCTCTTTGTTTATTATAATTGAGCTAGACAGTATCAAATGCATAGACACTCTATATTGTTAAACTACAAACAAATGAGAAACTAAAAATCATACATTCTGTGCAAATAATTTGATGAAATAGATGTAGTTGAGTAAAACTAAGCTGTTTTCACGTTTAAAGTGCAAATATAATGTGGTTGGCTACCCCTCCTTTCCATCCCTGATCATCCAAGGTGGCTAAGAGAAAAATCTACATACATAAAGTTAAATATATGATCAGTCACATATATACAGTAATTAGGCCTGATTTTGGATCTAAGCAGCTTATATTTTTGGTGGTAAAAATGAAAGATGTAACAGAATTTTAGTTTACAAACATACAGAAGATTATCAAAACTAGCATTGACCACAAAACTAAAATCTTTTTTGGATCGTGGGAAAATAGGTACCCTGACAGTATCAAAAAGAAAATACCTGTGATAAGTGGCATGCCCATTCACAAAATGCCAAAGTATGGCCAAAGCAAAACAGTTTGTTTAAAGGTGAAGTGCTGTGGCTACTCTCAAGATCTGTCTAGTTCTGTAATGTTCTTATATTATTTTAGGGGGGGCTGGAGAAGGAATCTAGAAATGACAAAAGCACTGGGCTGAGTCACTATTTTCATTTTCTGATAATATTTATAGAGTTTATGTGGAATCTAAAGGTATTCTTGGGAATCAGTGTGATTGGTATTCGAATATAGATCTTTTAAACATTGATATTTTATTGTATTTTACTAATCTAGGTGAAATGTTAATATATACTGCTAGTCCATGTATGATATGCCACAATGCTAAATAAATAAATGTGATTTTGAAGGCCAATTCTTTCCTTTGCAGTTTACCAGCTTTTTTCCAATTTTGTTTAAAACTAAAATCTTTTAGCTGTGGATAAAAGAAAGGATACCAAATATACACTGTACCAGTGTGTTGATATGTGATATGTGAAATAGCTTGAATCTCCAGAAGAGAAGAAACAAATAGCTCCAAACTTTTGAATGAAATATTAAGTCTGATCATCTAAAATACTGCCTTAGCATAGCATTGGGAGACTTCATGGGGGAACTTTTGGTGTTCTTGAGGAGAGTGCAAGAAGTTGTATTTATATTAAGAACTTAGCTGCTTCCACCTGCTTTACCTCATCCCAGTATCAGCAGTCTTCTCCAACTCCTCTTGCCTGATGCTGTATTGTTCTGAGATTACTATAGTAAGGGGAAAGTTTTACTGAGAATGGAAAAAACCCTGATAAAGTAAAGGATCTCTTCCTATGTGCTGTTTGAAGTGGCTTGTGATTATAATGTTAAATTTTTCTGCTTGGTAAGTATAAGAAATCTTTTTTCATATTAATTTGTCATATGCTTTTTAAAAATTGATATGCTTTAAATGAGTTGAAACTGAATGTGAGAAGATATTTAATATAGGTTGATTTCTCTAGCTAAATGATCTACTGAAGATAGATATCTAAATGTAGATAGTTGGATTTTTATTTGAAAATGTATATAAATAGATTATTAAATACATAATTTATTCCTTACACTTCAATCATATTCATGTCAGTAAATAAGCCTCATTTCACTGTAATTCCCTGCATTTATATTATTTTATTGATATGATATCCCTTTTCTCAAAAAATATTCCACAAAAGATGGGAAATAGATGGGGTTTGTTACTGAACAAAGTACATAGCTGGACCTTTAAAATGCACTCTAGACTTACAAATTCTTACATTTATACCTACGATATTTTAAGATGAATAATTCACCTTAAATACTTTTGATTTCCTTTGCATGATGAACATGTCAACAGGATCCCACCAACTATGGAAAGAAGGGAACCAGTCCAACCTAGATACAGTGCATATCCCAGTTCATGTCTACAATAAAGATAATAAATGTAATATTCAAACACCACATACTATCAAATGCTTTGTTGTCATATGTTACAGTTATTGGTATAAGACAGTGGTTCCCAACCTTTCTAATGCCGCGACCCCATAATACAGTTCCCCATGTTGTGGTGACCCCCAACCACTTATACATCACCGGGTGCCAGGGGCGTGGCCAAAGAAAAGGGGAAAAAAATGGCGGACAGCCTTGTTTGGCGACCCCCGTGAAATGGTCATTCGACCCCAAATGGGGTCCCGACCCACAGGCTGAGAACCACTGGTATAAGAGAAAGGTGGTTTTAGGGCGGAGAAAGCTCAAAGAACTCCAGGTGATTGATACATGAGAATGGAAGAATTAAAGGCTGCCTGCACAACTGGGATTAATGCAGACAAGTGGGATTATAAAAAAAAGGGCTGTAGTGATGTTACATCTGTATTACAAATTCCAAGAAAAATGAAGGTTAGTCCTTGTTTCCCATGCACTCCAATATGTCCGAAAGATAAACATTAAGTATTGAGAAAACAAAAACCAGTAAGTTTCCCAACCTGGGCAATTTCCAGATTTGTAAACTTCCATTCCCAAAATTTTCAATAGTGGTAAAATTGAGGAAGATTGTAATAATGCATGAAAGCATTATGTTAATTGTGTTAATCTTTGTGAATTTTAATGTCAAACATATTACAATAGATTTGAATTAACACTCACAGACCATTCAATCCTCTGTCAGTTTGGTAATGGTAAAACAATTAACAATGAAAAATATATAGAAATATTGACTTACTTTGTTCCAGCATACAAAGGATCAAAAGACTCAGTTATGATATTTACTGCATACCACGAAAGAGCAACCATTGATGAGACACCTGGTCAAACAATACAGATTAAATACAGATGAAAATTACCCATCAATATGTATTAGGGCCCTGCAAGTCATTTGATAAGATTTCATCTGCAAAGGACTTTTGGATCTATTCCTTGAAACTACAAAGCTACCCGAGATGCTTAAAGATTAGAAGAAGGTTCTTCAAGACTCACCCAAGGTCTTTTTTGTCATGCTTAAAAGGTATTTTGCTAGAAAGGACTTAGAAGACTGTTTCATTTATAAGCATCTGTATGATTTGTATAGACTAGTATGCATATATAATCAAGCTGTCACATAGTTAACAAAATTATAACATCTGAGGAAAGATCATATGAAAGTAGTGGTATTTTTTTATTCATTTCAAAATTTCACATGAGAAAATTAATTTTAACAGAAAATACATTTCTTTTCCATTAAAGACTTGGCATGTGATACAGCAGCTTTCATTTCAGAACAGAAAGCTGGAGTTTATTTTGATGGACATAAAATGCAAAATGAGGGCCAACTTGGTATAGTCGTTAAGGCATCCGGATAGAAACCAGGAAACCATGAGTTCTAGTTCCACCTTAGGCACAGTCAGGTGGATCACTTTGGGCCAGTCACTGTCTTTCAGCTACCAGTATATTCATAATTATAAGTCATAATTGGGACTATCTGACAGCATCTGCTTGATCGTAGCAACTTAGATAGGTAACTAAAACTTCCCTTTTTGACCAATGTTTTTAAAAGCAGTCATTGCCTCAGGCTGGAATGAAATACATACTAAAGAATGATAAATTCCATAGATTTAATGTTACTTGAACCATATGGTTATAACAAACTCTCTGATAATAGAATTTTATTTACCATGAATCTGCCCTTTAAGAGAAGTCACATTAATAATTGTAACAGGCAAGAGGAGAAGGAATTTTTTTTAAATAATCAATGGATTTTTATAGTCAATGTGATAATTAGACTCAATATTGCTGATGTTTTACCTAATCAATTTCTTGTTCTTATTCAGGCCAGGTATCAGCAGAAAATGTTGCATTACCTATAGTGTTCATCCACCATTTAAATCTGTCATTGTTCTTTAGGATTAGTGAAAGCAGCCCTTAATGAATAGAATTGGTTGCCTTTCTCTGGCCTCTACGCTTGGCAACCCTGCCTCCAATCTCAGAGCTGCATTTCACACATATCTTGGGTCAGAAAAAGGCTTTTTAGAAAGTTGAACCATACTTTTTCACAGGGAACAAAACTGAAATCAAGTCCCAGAGAAGCTCCATATACTGTAATTACTGTTCTGAAGTTTATAGTATGTTATAGTGTTAATCTTCCAGTTGGTTGTGTTCCCTTTTTTGTGGATGCATATTGTTTTCTTTTACATTCTTCTTTAATTGTAACATGCCCAAAGTTGTAGAGTTGGGTAGCCTCGAAATTAAAATATTAAAATTAATTAAATTACTAGCAAAATTGCCCAGAGAAAAAAAGGAGAATCTGTTTTCTATGACAAAATAGACAAAAATAGGATCTACTGATTCTGACTTCTGCAAGTTAGTGCCCTCCATGTGTGGGGGTATAATTCCTGGCAGTGTGATTCAAAAAATGTGGATGGCACAATGTTGGGAAAAACTAATAGGAGACTCTACAGGCAGTCCTCGACTTATTACCATAACTGAGCCTGGCAATTACAATCGTAAGTCATGATGGTCATAAAACAGGTAATCATGAGACTGACTTTACAATCTTTTTTGTGGCAATCATTAGGCAAACCCATTATTTGCTATGGATCTTTTTTGCTGGAAGCCAGAAATAAACATCAGTTTCTAGCAAAAACATGACTGCAAGATGCTACAAATGGCCATAAAATGAGTTGGTTGGCAAGTGCTAAAAATGCAGTCACAGAGCTGGCTGTCAAAATTTTGGAACTGATTCATCATAACTTTAAACAATTGCTAAGTGCCCAGTTGTAAGAAAAGGGCTATCTGTACTCATTGGCCATTCCAGTCTAAAGAAAAAGAAACCAGTGTTTTCGGACTTGTATTCTTTTTTCATTTTGTGAAAATGACCTTTAAATGTACTGTGCATACCTCCTCTTCAGTGCTATTTCCAGAGAACTGATGTGACCTATCCTAGAAATAAAAAATTAGTAAAACTACAAATAAATTCAGTGCATTGTTGTTGTTTTTTAAAAAAACTTAATATGTCTGGTCTGTTTATCAGAGAGGGAGAATTAAAATGTTGTAAGCAATTAAATAAACATAGTTAAACTGTGTCATAACTCAGATTCAGAAAACATTCTAAGAGAACAATACTTTTATTGCTTTCCAAATCACTCTAAGTAAACTTTTCAATTAATCTATTTTCATGTATTTTTTTCCTCTGACTCATCCCATCCCTTACTTGATACAAATGACAAGGAACCAGGCAAGGATAAATCAAGATATTTCTATATAGTTTTACGAAACTTTCCCTGCATAAATGTCCATTATATGATTTCTCACCTGCCAAAGCAAATATCATTCCACTCATTATGGAAATCCTTCCTTTTGTTCTTTTATCACTGAAACTAAGCTGAGTGCATCTCAAACCAAGCAATGCCAGCAGAGTTCCGCACATACCCAACACCAGGGATGTAATCATCAGGGCTTGACATACATGAATAAAAGCTGCAGGAGAGAAAAAAAATGACCAAAGTTTTCGATTTTAGTGCAGAGCAAGTGATGGATGTTGCCTTTGATCCATCCATTAATCAAAACTTGACTGGAAGCAAACATGTGGGAAGGCTGCATATTTCTTAGGAATTAATTTGAAGGAGAACACCATTCAGAATGCCATTATGGCTTTTTAATATTCAAGTATCTCTTGTAGTCAGGACTGTCTATTATGACATTTCAGATTACTTTTTGTGCATTAAATTACTCTTGGTGCTATGTGAAAAATGCATAAATAAAATATTGAAAGAGAAAAACAATGTACTTGGGGAACATACCACCTTTTCCTCAAACAGATCCCCAGCCTGAGTTATTTAGGTAGGGATATAATATCATTTTTCTCTTGATTTAAGAAAAAAAATCACTGAATTTATCATGGGACTTTTTACTATCCCTCTACTTTCATTTTGCAACTGTTTGCACATCTAGCAATCAGCACACTTCAATTGATGAAAGCAGGAAATTTAGGAGCATTAAAACAGAAGGAAGGAAGCAAAGAGTTAAGAGAGAATGTAGACATTCCAAAGCAATCCTATCAAAATTATTCCATACCTCCTCAATATTTGGTGGCCTTTTTACTAGAATGATTTATTTTTTGAAGTTATATTCCTTTCTCCTATTGGTTTTTCAAAATCTACCTGCTTTTCTGTGTCAATTAGAAAATTAACTGGAAGTTCTATTAGGCTATGTCAGGGGTCTTCAAACTTGGTCCTTTTATGACTTGTGGACTTTAACTCCCAGAATTTCTCAGCCAGCGTGCCTGGCTGAAGAATTTTGGGAGTTGAGGTCCACAAGTCATAAAAGGGCCAAGTTTGAAGACCCCTGGGCTATGTTAACAACAGGAAGAAGTTAAAAACAGAATTGCTGTTATGATTTTAAAAAAGAATGTTATGGGATATTGTTTTTTGATGGTAATGTTTGTTAAGTAATTTATTAAACTATTGTAGCAATTTATAGAAATTGGAACATAATTATGAATTTGATATGGAACAAAGAAATTAGTTTAAGTCACATGATTTTTTTATAGAACAGTCTAATTATTATGCGATTATTTAATATTGTCAATCTCTGCTTTAATGAGCTGGTGATTCCCTATTAATTGAGCTATGAAGGTTTTCTTTTACAAACATCAACTTATTTGGCAGAAACAACAGGTATCAAAGTTAGTATGATTTGAAACAAAAAGGTAGGCATGCTATCTAAGCCAGTGTTGTCTATTCTCAACTGGTATCAGTTGAGTGAAATCCCAAGCCTTTCTCAGTTCCTTTTCATAGAAACAGCAAAAACTGAACCTGGCTGAGACTTTTTGCATGTAAAATGTATATTCTACTAATAGTCTGTAATCTCACCCTGCACTCCAGCCCTTTTAACTGCAGACAACACAAGCATAATTATCTCTGTTGCTCAGGTAAAATGTAAGCCAAGTACGGTAAACAGACATTGAGAAGGGAAACTGATAGTTTAGTTGGCTTCATCTGCTAATCTATGGAACGTCCTCTGTCCCGATCTAAAAATGTTCTCAGGCTGATCCTGAAAAAGCAAAGCCCATTCAAAGGGGTTTGCCCAGTGAACATTAACTTGCCTGTTCTGTAATATCGAACTGAAAATGTTAGATTAGGCAAGGATGGCAATGTTTTCTATGACTATTTCAAGCAAGCATGAGAAAAATTAAATATTAATAAAATGAATGTGTTATTAATTTGTAAATGGGGTAGGAGTAAGCAGAAATAAAGAAAAATAAAGATTGTTAAGCAAGCATTCTGCTGTTTGCTGTCAATCAAAAAGAGATAAACATTTGTTTCCCCCCAAATGTATATATATATTTGTTCACTTTTTATATGCACCAAATAGCCAACCACATGTGTAGGGATTTGTTGTATAAGAATCAATTCCTTCCAACAAAAAGATGGGAAAAATAAAGGTTATAAAGACTATAAATTCTTAAAGCTTTCTCATTTAAAAGAAATTAAGCCCTATAGCAGGGCTTCTAAAGAACCATTTGGGGAGATGGGAAGTAAACAACATTGAAGAAAAACAAACCATAGTTGCTATAGATCTTATTAAATGTATGTAAACAGATAATTTGTAAATATGAAATAATCAATTAGATGCTTTTATTAAACCATTAATGCAGAGCATGGCATCACTAATAGATCAGACAACTGCCCCATTTCATGGACGCAAGTCTTTACAAGCAGAATGTTCTTTTATTATACAAATGGCAAATCGCAAATTATTGCAGATCAATACCAACCATCATAAACTGTTGCTTTTTTCCTTTTATTTCAAGCACTAGAAATTTGTATACTCTATTTCTCTCCCTTAACATACAAATTTAAATTTTTGACATGGTTGAAAATATTAAAAATGTATGCGTCTATTTCACTGTTAAGGTGAAATAAGAGAAATTAATGTTTCTTATTGCACATGTTGTGAATGTAGAAAATTCCTCATTCAAACATTGTCATGATCACATACTTCAGGAAATATCCATCTCAAATACTAAGATGTTGGTATTAGCCAATGCTTCTCAAGGCTTTTAATGGAAGTTCATATTTGACTTCAGCTTCCATAGCTTTGTAGCAAGTGCACTTTCATAAGAGTCTTTGCACTGTTCAGGAAGAATTGTGGAAGCGTGAAGTGAGGTAAGCAGCTCACCTGTCCCTCCTTTTTGGGATCAGGATATTACAACATAACACATCACTCCTTCTCCAAGCAAGCAAAGAGAGTAGAAGGCAAGCTTCTGGCCTGGATTACAGTTACATTGTTACTGTCTCTTCTAGCAGTGACTGATGACACTACAAGTTATATTAAATTTAATATGTCATCAATCAGAGCCAAGTCACCACTTAATAAGTCTTACTTCCTGCTGAAAATGTATTACTGTCTTGCTACCACTAGATCAGTCTGTCTAAAAAAGAAAGAAGAACCGATTAGAACCGATTCAAGCCCTGCTTATAAGACCATTGCCTTAGTGGCAGCACTTCCTATTTGCTACAGTCTCCATAGGTCTGAAGGCCCTTGGCAATGTATCTTCAAGGCAGTGATGTCTCCTTCCTGGGAAGAGCAACATTTAGCTGCAGATTTATTGAGTTTTCAAAAAATGCCAGCAGGCTCTACATACAAGGTAGCTTGGTGGGCTGCATGTTGTGGTGGGCCTAAAGGGGTTTTTTTTGTTGTTAATAATAGTAGTAAAGTTGGAAGGGACCTTGGAGGTCATCGAGTCCAACCCCCTGCTTGGGCAAGAGACCCTACACCATTTCGGACAAATGGCTGTCCAGTCTCTTCTTAAAAACTTCCAGTGTTGGAGCATTTACTGCTTCTGGAGGCAAGCTGTTCCACTGATTAATTGTTCTCACTGTCAGGAAGTTTCTCCTTAGTTCTAGGTTGCTTCTCTCTCTGTTGTTGTTAATACTGAAAAATGTCCACAATGTATTCGAGAAAATTATTGATCTTTCAAGCTGTAGTTGATACAGTACAAGTAGGGCAAGGAAATACGTTTCTGTGAGTTAATGATAAACCTCCGGTCTAGAGGTTGCCAGTATGTTCTGGGTTCAATTCAACACACTGGTTATCTACAAAGCTCTTAACGGCACAGGATCAGATTATTTCATATTTATTGGATGTTTCAGAGAATATTTATGCTGAAAGTATAAAATAATGGCCAAACACTTCCTGTTCTGGCCAAATATTCATAGGATTTGGGGAACAATCATATGATTTGAAAATTATTTTTTTATTACAGAAAGACAACTTCATTTCATATTTATAGCAATGGAGTTTAAATGATATTCTTTTTTATATTTATTATGATACCTTTTGGGATTTTTTTGTTAAATTAATTTTTTCTTTCCTCTCCCTTTTTTCATTTTTTCTTATTTTTCTAGAGTGAAACAAATATATTTTAATAGCGTCAGTGGTTCCCTTGAATGATTACAATTTTAATGTTTACGGTATATAAATGTAAACTGTTTGAAATTTAAGTTCCAAAGTCTTTTACAGCATATTAAGGATGGAATAATTAATGCCTTTTCTAGTGTCTCAATTCAATAAACATGCAAAAGAGATACATATGCAACAGATATCAGAAAATAGGGAGACTGGTGAAGACCTATGTTCAAACATCAAAGAAAAGCCATGGAGAGTGTATATAATTCTACATTTTATCGACTGGCAGTGCTGACATGACTCAAATGCAGGCAAACTATATTATTTCAATATGTTGTTTCCAACATTGTCAATGTTTTCAGTAACAGATAAGTTTAACTCAGTATTAAATCAGAGAATTCTATGAATTCTATGAAAAATTAATTTTTATAGATTTGCATATACTTTCATGTATTTTGATAACATATAATATTAAGTAAACATATTGCAATTTCATACTGTTAAAAACACGCTAGCAATCCATTATTTTATATATGAAAAATGCAACTTACTGTCTAAACTTAAGAAGAAGTACAATTTATTGCACTGAATGGAACCCAATGAAGTAGTATTGCAATTCATCCATAGACCTTCATACTTCCAATTTGTAGTATTGACTATACTTGATATTCTCCAGTTGCTGGATACAGTAGTAGCAAGTAAAAATATAAAACTCAGAAAAACAAGAAGCAATGCTGGTATTTGAAAAGCTGCCAAAGCCATTCTTCAATTTTTAAAAAATGAAGCGGTTTCCTTCTCAAATTGTTCAAACCAAAGCAGATTTCTATCAGTTGATATTCTGTTAAGAGCAAGCAATGTAATAGTTATTTAATATTTATATTAAGATGCAAAATAAACGTTATTCACAAAAGTTATTCTCACAGATAAAATAATGATTCAATTAGCATTCAAGTTTCAGTTCTATATAAAATAAACTAAATTACATTTAAATTAAACTGCTTGAAATACATAAACTTAATATATAATTAAATGTCAAATATCATTTTAAAATATGCTTACTTTGATAAATCTGCTTTTATCTCCTATGCAGCACTTCTAGTCCTGAGCCATGTGAGCAAATTTTGATAGTCAGTTTGCCAAAGTTAGGTAAATATTTAGTGATATTTAAGACCCTAGATCATTTCTTCCAAAAATCAAGGCTTTCCAGCCAGTTCATTGACTTCATTGATCAAACGAACGCTGCAATATCTGCAGGCAAAAACTGCTGATCTCCATCGTATTTCTGAATAAACATCATGTGGAGTTGCATAATAAAGCTTCAGATATTTAATTATCTCCAAAAAGGAAATTTGTTTCTTTCTATGATTTTTCTAACTCTTTTCCATGGGAAGAAACTTTGTGATATTCTAAAAACTTATGGGCTAATTTAATCCAAATGGTTACATAGCATAGGGAATTGCCTGTTCTCAGATCTTTACAATGCATCTAGACAATTTCAATTTGATGGGACATGTTATATATACAGTAAATTATCATGCTACATAATTTTCTCCCAACTCTTGAAAAACTGGATGGGACAAGTGGTATAAATATGATGAAATGGAGAGAACCTGTCAATCAATCAATCAATCAATCAATCAATCAATCAATCAGAATAGAGCTGGAAGGAACCTTGGATGTCTTCTAGTCCAACCTCCTGCTCAAGCAGGAAACCCTATACCAGGGGTAGGCAACCTTGGCTCTTTTATGACTCGTGGACTTCAACTCCCAGAATTCCTGAGCCAGCAATGCTGGCTCAGGAATTCTGGGAGTTGAAGTCCACGAGTCATAAAAGAGCCAAGGTTGCCTACCCCTGCCCTATACCATTTCAAACAAGTGACTATCCAGTCTCTTCTTAAAAACCTTCAGTGATGAAGCACCTACAACTTCTGACAGCAAGTTGTTCTACTGGTTAGTTTTCCTCACTGTTATGAAGTTTCTCCTTAGTTCCAGTTTCCATCCTTTCTTGTCTTGCCTTCTGGTGCTTTGGTAAATAAGTTGACCCTATCCCAGGGATAGGCAACCTTGGCTCTTTTATGACTTGTGGACTTCAACTCCCAGAATTCTTGAGCCAGCCACACTGAAGGGAAAGGGAGAGATTTCCAAGCTGAGCCATGCTGGCTGAGGAATTCTGGGAGTTGAAGTCCACGAGTCATAAAAGAGCCAAGGTTGCCTACCCCTGCCCTATCCTCTTTGTGGCAACCTCTTAAATACCAGAATACTGCTATCATGTCATCCCTAGTGATTCTTTTCTCTAGACTAGCCAAACCCAAATCCTGCAACCATTCTTCATATGTTGCAGTCTCCAGGCCTTTTGGATTCTAGTGACTTTCCCCTGCTAATTCATTCCTTGTCCCAAATCTTCAATAAACCTGATCATGCAGGATAGGGTTACCAGATATGGACTGAAAAACTCTGGACAGCTGCAGGCTGATTTACAACCATTTGTTTAGCAACCAAAGTTACAATAACACTGAAAAAGTGACTTATAACTAGTCCTTACACTTACAATCACTGTAGCATCACACAATCAAAATTTGGATGCTTAGTAACCAGCATGTATTTATGACCATTGCAGTGTACCAGGGTCACATGATCATCATTTGCAACCTTCCCAGCCAGCTCACAACAAGCAAAATTAATGGGGAAGCCAGATTTGCTTAACGACCAAGTGATTCGCTTAACAACTGTAGCAAAAAAGGTGGTAAGGTTTTGCAAGACTCACTTAACAACTCTCTTGTCTAGCAAAAAAATTCTGGTCCCAGTTGTGGTTGTAAGGCAAGGACTACCTGTACTAAATGGCAGCAAAGAGCTAGAGTTTTCTGAATTTCTTTGCAGCCATATGTAGTAGCTATAGTATTCAGATTTTTGCAGCTTAGATATGGTAGCTCAAATGCAGGGCCCTAGTAGGAACTGTAGCAGAAGAGCTTGAGAGAAGCAAAAAGGGAACATGTGAATAGCTGGACTGAGAGAGAGTAACTGGGCAGCTAGGTTTCATGCCTAAGAAAGGACTAGAATTCACAATCTCCTGGTTTCTAGGCCAGCACCTTAATCACTAGACTAAACTGGCTCTCCCCCACCCCATTAACTGCTCTTGACTGCGGTTTTCTTCTCCCTCTCATCTCCCTCCTTCCTTGAAAAAGAAGGGGAGATAAAGTAGGCAAACTATATCTAGATTGCACAAATGTCTCAGGCCCAAGATTGCTGCAGTGAGAAGTGGCTATGCGACCCTCCTGTTTCCTTTTTCCTTCCTACTCACCCCCAATTTTTACAACTTGGAGAGGGAGCTTGGTGCCTTAAGTCAGGGGTCCCCAACCCCCGGTCCATGGACAGGTACTTGGCCGCAGCATGCCAGCAACCAGTCCGCACAAATAAGCAAAGCCCCATCTGTGGTATCCAGGCAGCACACAAAACCATGCACTATCCGGTCCATGGAAAAACCTTTCTCCACAGAACCGGTCCCTGGTGCCCAAAAGGTTGGGTACCTCTGCCTTAAGTCTCTCACCACTAGAGGAATCCTCAGAGATGCTTGCCTTGTGAGTCGGAGGTCTACATACACTCTTAGGTGACACTTCATTCAGCAACAGAAAAAACCTTAAAACATTTAAAAATTTTGCCTCGTATTTCCTTGTTAATTAATTTTAAGCTGAAATATTAATTATGATTATTTCCTAAGTGAAGGGTACATCAAGTTTTGGTTTCCAAGGACTATATATGAGGACATTATCAAAAAAAAAAAAAAGTTTGGGTGCCAAATGTCACAGAATTGTGACATTTAGTCACCAGAATGTACAAAAATTTATACTTTTATACACACTTAATTTGATCATTTGATCATCTCTGGGATCAGCTATAAAGTTAACTTAATGGCAAACCTCTGTATACAAACTAATGGCAGAGCAAGCTACTGTATATAACACGGAGCAAGCTCCACATTTACTTGCATAGATGTTGCTATATAGTTGGGTATGAAACATCTGCAAGCAAATAACCAAGCTCAGATATGAATAGAATAGAGCTGGAAGGGATCATGCCCTCTGGTGCTTTGGTGAATAATGTGAACCCCTCTTCTTTGTGGCAGCCCCTCAAATACTGGAATACTGCTATCATGTCTCTCCTATTTCTTCTTTTCTTTAGACTAGCCAAACCTAGTGATCGTCCACTAGGATTCCAAGGTCCCTCTCACAGTTACTGTTTTTAAGCCAGGTCTTGCCCATCTGTACTTGTACCTTTGATTTTTCCTGCCTAAATGTAAAACTTTGCTTTTCTCCACATTGAAACTCTTTTTGTTGGATAGGGCCTATTGTTTAAATTTGTCAAGCTCTTTTTGGATCCTGAGTTTGTCTTCTGGGGTGTTGGCTACTCCTGCCCGTTTGGTGTCATCTGCGAATTTAATGAGTTCCCCTTCAATTCTCTCATCTAAGTCATTGAGGAAGATATTGAAAGCACTGGGCCTAAGACGGAACCTTGTGGTACCCCACTGCTTACTTCTCATGTGGATGTAGTGCCGTTGAGGACTACTCTTTGAGTACGGTTTGCCAGCCAGCTACAGATCCATCTGGTGGTGATGTTGTCTATTCCAGCTTTTTCTAGCTTACCAAGGAATAGGTTGTGGTTTACTTTATCAAATGCCTTAGTGAAATCTACTACATCCACAGTATTTCGCTGGTCTATCAGTTTAGTAACTTTGTCGAAGAATGAAATAGGATTGGTTTGGCCTGATCAGTTTTTAACAAACCTGTGCTGGCTACTAGTTATAACTTTGTTTGCTTTTAGTTGTTTGCAGATCTGTTTTTCAATTATCTTTTCTAGGATCTTCCCAGGTATTGATGTTAAACTGATTGGTCTGTAGATAGCATCAAAGATTCCAGTTAGCTTAATTTCTGGAATCTTAAGACTGAGGTTTATTTTTTGGGGAAAAAACAATTTCAAAACACTTTATTTTAATCTGTGCACCTACCAAAATTGTTCAGTTTGCATACCACATGCCTGTGAAAAGATGCTGAAATCCTAAATTCAGAAGCCTTGCTTCAAACATCTTTACAAGATTATCTGTTTAAGAACCTATATGGGCAAAATGAAATAGTAGATACTGAATAGCGTATTTCCTCTTGGAATACACAATTCCAGAAACCCATTTTAATATAGATGTTTTATGGCTGCTCCCAGGGCACTGTTGGCCACAGTAATCACTCTTCAGAGCAGATGCTACTGGCGATTACTTATTTGTAGCAGCTGCTCCTATTTCTGCTTCTTATTGCTCTTGCCAACATTAACGAACGCACTTTCAGTCTTCTTTCCGTATATTATAGTATCTATATGGGAGAAACGAACATTTCATTTTAATTAACATCCTCTCCCTAAACACCTTTTACAAGGTCAAAGTCACCGTTTGCAGTTCAGCTTTGAGATATGCGGAAATAAACTTAATAAAATGGAAGAATGACCTCAATTGTTTTAAAATGGCGCTTAAACACTAGAACAGAACACCGCGCAGTCCGGAGGCAACAAGTCCTTTGGCCTTTGAAGAGACACCGGAAACCAACCACTTCAGTGCGGAGGCGGGACTAATACTATCCCTTCCCACTCATACGCTAGAGAAAAGCTATAGGAGTCTTCTTGTTTCCTTTCTCCAACATGACGCCCTCAGATGAGTAAGGGCGGCAGCTTCAAGATGGTAGATGATTGTGGCTGCTGACCCGGAACTATTACTTTGGGAAGGTGAAGAAAATGGGGTTGAAGTGCTATACCCGTGTCTGGGTGAAGCAAGAGTTATGGGGTGGTGGACCGTGGGCTCGCAGGTAAGACGATATAACGTGTCTCCGTGCAAAATAGAGTTAATCGTGGACGGAAAAGGTATTACTAAGCGTTCGTGCAGTCCTCTGCATGACAAGTTAGCTATCCGTATTTCCGCCTAGCTTGAATCCCGCGTTAAGCGCGTGCCATGCGAGCCCAAGTATTTGATTAATTTACAAACCATACTTAATGATGAATAAGATGGTCGTGTGGACGTAGCCATTGAAGGGCATTGAGAGAGCGTAGGCGAATAGAGGGAGGAGTTGTAATACTGCTGCAAACTTCAGCATCATCCTATACTGGGCAGTATAGAAAAGAAAAGCCACAAAAATTCGGATGGCTACTCTTGGAAATTGAAATGGTGGAAAAAGTGGGGTTAATTTGTTATAAAGACTATACGAGGGGAAAACGCAGTAAAGTCCTTTTCTGTCCCTGGCTAAGAGCAGGATGACTCGCATAAAAATCATTTGGGGTGGGGATGTTTTAGTTTTTGAACCGGTGACAGTAATAGGCAGCCTAACGGAACCTTTTCACTTTTGTAATAGTTTCTTTTCCTTAAGGGTATAGTGTCTTTGTTTTTTCTCCAGTTGTGCTAACTGCTAATATTTAAAACAAGCATAAGTCAATCAATAGTTTACACCATTATATTATGATTCATAATATTTAAATATGTAACGTTTGAAGAAGCTGATGTGTGAAACTCTTTTGAAGTAATTATTGGATTAAAGCCTTTGCTATACATATGAAGATTTATTTTGATTTAATTTTTTATCCCGCCTTTATTACTTTGTAGGTAAATTAAGGCAGTGAACATTCTTCCTTCCTTCCTTCTATTTTCCCCAAAAGTTATTTGGACCATTTCTATCAAAATTTAGGATTGGCTGTAATACTGAAATGACATTGACCACATTTGCCATTAACCTCTAGTGGGCTCAGAATGGGGTAGCATATCCATCCTGCTGTCCTTGATCTTTCAGTGATACTATCAGTTGTAGTATCCTTCTGGGCTGATTAAGGAGGTTAGGAGTAGAAGATAGGATGTTACGATGTGGTTCCCTTTTTCTAGAGCTGGTTCCAGACAATGTTGGTACTATGGGATGGGGTTGAACTTGAAGCCAATGCTTTGTTAGATGTTTTAGGACTGTATTCTCTCCCAGCTCCTATTTTTCTCCTTTTAAAACTTCTAGGTCCAGATGAGCAGTGTAAAAATGCATGTGGGAGAAAAGTCTGATGAGGCATATGAAAAAGAGAAATCAGTTTTTTCTTTCCAAAAATTTCTGGATTTTTTTCATGAATAGCAGTTTTTAGCTGCATAAGGCAGGACTTAAAACACTTCTAAATTTGATTGTTCCACTGTTTATTGTTGATAGAATAGTAGACAATGATTGTGATGGATATTTAGCATTTAAAATAATGTAAAGAGATGTTCAGAGATCAAAAAGCATGACAAGCTCAAATCTATTGCAATAGAAAAATGAATATGAATAAAGAGGAACATACACAAACCAGTTTTTCCAACTGCAAAAAGGTACATAAATTCTGATCTAGTGAATGAACTTCAGATAGCAGTTTATGAGAAGGAATTGTCAGTTATTCCACCTGAGTTACCCTTGTAGTCTCTTATGTAATGCAATACCCAGTGTCTCTTATACTTATAGAAATTGCTTATCCTTATGTAGAACTGCTGCATTTTATTAACATGGAAAGTAATCATGCATTCACTCATACTTATGAACATTTTATTAAATATTGTTTTAATGAACCATTTAATTAAACATTTGGCTACCTATATGAACATCTGTTCACACATAATATTGTCAAATGAATATTTAAGTAATAAATTTGCAAATTGCTCAACCAGAGGAAATAGTTTTCGTTCTAAGTGAGTAGTGAAAAATTCTAATATCTGAAGGTTTCTTCTGAAGAATAGTGCTGGATAGTAGAACATGAATTTAGAGAAGTTACTTTTTTTCACAAAAATATTCTAAATGTTGAATAACAGATGGGTTGTAACAAGCATCTGTCTTTTTATAAGTTTCATTTTTAATTCTTTGTGCACGAGGTTTCACTGAAAATCATTCTGGTATCGATTTTTATTACTGGACCCCTGAGGTAGAATATAAGCAAAAATAATGTATAATTATTTACATAATAAGACAAATAAGGTAGTATTAGGCTTTTTTATTCTAATAATTTCCTTGTACAATCATTGCCTGCCCATCTAAAATGTACATTCTTATTTTGCATTATAGTAAAGTTACAGTAGAAATAGAAGTTTGATTTTACATCTCATTATCAGAAACTAGTATTTCTTTGCAATCTGGAAACATTTCAAAATATTTTATGATTAAAGTCTTTTATTATTTTACTATTATTTATATTTATCATATTTATTGACCTCCTTCTTTCCACAGGATAACTTAATTTTATGATTAAAACGTATTCTTTCAATACAGGTCTATTCTGTTTACACAACCAAAAAATGGATTCAGAAGACCAGCACTGAAAACTGGCACTAAGCTACACAAAAGCAGTTTGACTCCTCCAGTTAAGGACCTGGATTTTCATGAATCTTCCCGTTCACTAAAGAAGCTAGTAAAACCTTTCTTCTTTACAATTGGGGTAATAATTTGTTGATAATTTCATGTAGTTGGCAGCCATTCCAGTGAATGTATATTTGTGAACCATTTAGAAATATCTAATCCTGTAGTGCTGTGAGTTACAATGTCATCTAAATGTAATGAAGTTCTATTAATAGGTAAAGAGCTTAGGGTTAAACAGAAACCTTTAAATGGTACTGTGTCATGTCTTTTTTTTCAATACCATGAACCAACTATCATTGTCCTTGTTGGAAGAAATTTATGAAGCTTTAGATTTAGTAACTCATCTCCTTTAGCAGCAATGACTTCACCAAATCTTTCCTGAATCATTCATAAATTATGCACAAACTCATTGATAGTTTTCTGCTTTTGTAAATGAACTACTTGGTCATATGTAGCAATATTTCAGTTGGGCTAAATTTAGGGTTTTGATCGATTTTGAAATAAAAAAATTCTAAAAGCATTCTGTTGATGTTTAGGATTGTTGTCATGTGGCATAATACATTTCATTGGCAACATTGAATCTTGTTTTTTTATGTCTGATTGATTGGAACATCTCTCTCGGTATACCCCTTATTACACATTTTTCCCAACATGACCAATAAACATTAGCTCAATATATTCAATAAAAATATGAAATATACAACATTTGAAGTGTTATGCTTTTAACCAGAGCTTCTTTATTAATGAAACTTTCATGAGTTTCTAAATGCATTGTAAGTTACAGTAAAACAAAATTATAGATGGTTATGAAGGGTTCACAAATTTTTTGTCACTACAGAATATAGTTTGTATTAACAAAACTATGTAGCAAATAATCTGCTGCAGAATTTCTACAGAAGATAATGCTTGTTTAGCGTAGACAGTCTACTGCAGTAATATGGACAATGTAGGTGCATTTTCAGATATTTAAATGTGAAAGTCACAGGCTCGTACTTTCAAGCTAAAGACCCTAGAGGCAATTATTTGAATTCAGAGAATATTCATGTATTCTCTTAATCCTTGATTGTAGATGTTACAATGCAATTAGATAAAGTCTTTTGTAGCTTAATTGGAATACTTCCATTGTAGTATTAGTATATCTATTAATGTCTCCATCTTAGTGAATTATGTTTTGTCTGAAATTTTGATTAAACATATTCCCAACGTTCTTTAGTTTTCAGGCTGTGCTTTTGGAACAGCTGCTATTTGGCAATATGAACATCTCAGAACAAAGTTCCAAAACTATTTTGAAAATGCTCAAGCAGATTGGCTGGATAGAATACAACCACAGAAAGGACTCCACTTCAGAAAACAGGTAGAAACATTTTACTCTATATTTTAATTGTTTTTTCCTGTTCATTAAGGCAGGCATGTTTTGTATTATGCAGTTATGATTCAACATATTTCATCAAGATAATTAATTATCCAGCCAAAATAGCTATGGATTATCATAGGTAGTCTAATACATCTGAAGGGTATTGGATTTGGAAAAGTTATAATACAATATTGCTATTAATGTTATTAAGAATATAGTCATTATTGCAGATGCTCTCTTAATTTTTCCTCTTGTACAATAATATTCAGAAAATGTTAAGTGGCTTAACATATTTCAAGGGTCAATGTGAGGAAAATATAAAGTATTTAATATTAAGATTGTGAGACATTAGCAAGCTTGCATTGAATGATGGAAAAATGTATTTTAAAAAGCGAGAACTAGTTCAGCCATCAGAATATCAGATATGACTGCAATATATTGGTAAAGTAATATGGTTGTTTTATTTTATACTAGTTCTAGGTTCTCCATTACAATTTCTGTTGTAGTTACAAATCACAAAAATAAATATGAGGTGGATTGAGAAAAAAGCCTGCAGGAAGAAAGTAGGTGAAAGTGACTGTTATGTCTGGTGACCCAAAGATTTCCTCTATTATTTTTTCATATCCGATTTGGCTATCTTCCTGTTGCATATTTTCTGTTGCTTTGTTTCATATTTAATAATAATAATAATAAAGTTGGAAGGGACCTTCTAGTCCAACCCCTGCTCAGGCAAGAAACCCTGCCTATACCATTTCAGATAAATGGCTGTCCAATCTCTTCTTAAAAGCCTCCAGTGTTCATGTTTCATGCTCAGCCAGTCATATTCACAGAAAACGGTTACTTTGCAAACCATGGTTCATTTTGATATATTTCTACATATGTGCAAATGCACATACACACCATTTTAAATTTGTTTCATGAATTATTACATAAAAATATATAGGTCATTACATTTATTTCATCATGTTTTAGTCCTTCTGGCTCATCCAGGATTTCAGTTAGGGAACTTTCCTAATTGAGGTAGTCTAGTGCAGGGGTAGTCAACCTTGGCTCTTTTATGACTCGTGGACTTCAATTCCCAGAATTCCTGAGCCAGCTTAGCTCAGGAAGTTGAAGTCCACAAGTCATAAAAGAGCCAAGGTTGCCTACCCCTGGTCTAGTGTAATGTGAAACTGAGGAAGAAAGTTCCACTCACAAAATTCAGTGGAGAAAAGTATTTCCAAAAGATTCTTCATGGAGATGAAGGTTCCATCCTTTAATAAGATAGCATTATAAAAATTCAGTGCTGAATTTTGGGGCCCATTTCCCTTTGTGTGGGCCGATCAATATTCAAGAAGTAGTACATACTTATTTTTCTCGCTTCCAAATTGCCCAGCTCCCTCAAATAGATATCCTAAAAGAGATCTTTAGAAGTATATAGCTAAGGTTGCTTTTTTATTATTATTAAGAGAATGGTGTGTTGGTAAATTAGGAAGCAATTTGTCAGTGTTGATTCTTGATTCTCTTATCCCATTACAATAATGTAATTGATGAACTGATAATGTATCAGAATGTGAGAGGTTGAGGTTTACTTTGGGTGGTTAGTTCAAGCACATTATTTCTTTTTAAGATGGCCATATTAATCAGGAAGAATTGGAGTAGATTTGTTTGTTATTTTATACACCTATGGAAAAAGATACATTATGATAATTTTTGAAATATGACTGATTTTTAAAAATGAAATTATCCTTTATTTGGGTATGTACTATAATAAGAATTCATTTTGTTTAAAAGCTTAATTTCTTAAATATTTATTTGAAAAACTTGCATAATGAGATTAATTAAATTTAAACTGTTTTGAAATATTGTCTGTATATATTACAGCCTAATGCTCTTCATAATATCAGCTTCCTTATAATCATTACTTGCTGTAATCCAGTTGATCAGGAGGTTATTAGATTGTTTTATTGAAGTATCAGAATAATAACGTTGCCTGTTCTCTTTCAGATTAATCTTTGGTGGAACAGTCTTAGCAACGGGCAACGGACTGTGTCAGGTTTGTGTTAGCTTACAAGTATTAGACATTCTCAGGAAGAGAAATGAGGCAAACAGGTACAGTATGTTACTGGATGGCTTTCATACCATGCTTACAAATTAATACACATAAGGCAGTCATGTCCAGTATATATTTTTATTCTCCATGTAATTTACTCTGTTCTAATGATACAGTAGTTAACTATTAGATTAGCAGTTTTTAATGGGATATAACATTTTGTTAAATTTATTCCATTTATAGAATTGATAACATTGGCCTATTCCTCTTTCTTACTGTAGAAACTTTATGATTCGGGCTATTTCACACAAGATGTCATTTTTATTATAATTACTTGACTTACATAGAAAGTAGTGTGTATTAGCATGTTGCTAGAATTGCATTTGATTGATTAACTGTGTGTGTCAATATATATCATATTTATCCATAGGAAGACATGTCTTTCTCCCAGATAGTTACCTATGACTTGCATCATTCTCTTCCTTTACACGAACAGAAAATAGTTCAGAAAGATGAGAGATCAAAAGACTGCAAAAATCTGGGTACCTCTGAAGATTTCCCCAAGGAGTAGTCATTATTTTACATGGGTTGCTTGCTTAATAAAAGTAACCCTCTTTGTAAGGCCTAGTCAGTACTTCTTTCATGCAGTATTATTTTCTTCTCAGTGCAGTTTTCTTTCGTCTTGTCTTACTTTCATTCTGTTTCTACTGGAGAAGGAGTTGTGTTTAAGGATGTTTTTTTTTATCTATAAGAGATTTTATATATATCCTATTTTTCAGTCAATGTTTTAATTACTTGCTATTAATTCAATACACTTTTTATTTTTCTGCCCCCTTTTCCAGTGTGATTTCTGCACACATATATATGTACCATATCTGTATACAAGAGTACCAAATGCACAGATTTATTGGACAGGTGGGAAAAAATCTACAGGATTGTTTTCAGTAGATTTGGCAATCCTAAAATAACAAATTGGAGAAGATGGGTATTGCACATGATTTTTTTATTATTTGTATTTCATTTCTGTCTATTCTTTGGATATTGTCAAAGAATTTTCCTTTTGGATAAATATGGTATGAGTGAAATAAGCAAACTTGTATATTTTAGGAAGGGGAATAGAACTCACTATATAACCAGGGAGTTGTTTCAGAGATATTTCTTTATCTAAACAGAAACAGAAAGCAGTGGGAGCGGGAGCAACCATCGACTTTCCTTGTAGGAAGCAGGGAATGTTGGAAATGGCGATCACACGTCTATGGCTGACTGTAGTGGTGCAACAGCACTGAAGCAGCCACACATTTGCCAAATTTTAATCCCATGGGAATCATAGTCCTGGATTTTAGACAAATGAGTGAGCCCATTTGAAATAGTTGATTCAAAACGTGTTGCTCTGTGATGCACCTATTTCTAGATATGCTAAGCCAAAATAAGAGAGTCATTGCAGTCTTTTCATTACCCCACTGTTCCATCAATTAATAGAAATAAAAGTAGGAATGTATGGGAATTCCTTAGTATTTTCTGTATGGTCTATTTACTCAAGTAGTTTTGTAAAATAAATACCATATGGATATATGAATAAGGATTAAAATTACTTATCTATTTACAGAAGGAGAATGACAGCCTGATTTAGAGTGATTTCATATTTAAAATGACTTTTCACATTATGTAATTACTGCATAATATGAAATAATTATGTTCTGGCTTGTATTTGTAATAACTTACTTTTGGCCTTATAAACACTAAAAATGAAGCATTTTCCTTTTTAATCACTAAATTTTTCTTTTATTAAATTCCCAGGTATTATAGCTGCAAATGTAGTTGTATTCTGCTTATGGCGAATACCTACTTTGAGCCGGATAATGGTCACATATTTCACATCTAACCCAGCTTCTCGTGAGTATTATATAATGCACGAAAAATTGTATAGATTTTTGCTGCCTTGGATTTTTAATTGGAATCATACTCAGTTTGAGTCACAGAAATAATTTGGTTTCCTTTTGTGTAAACAGCTTACAATATGAGATAATTTATCTTCAGTCTTATCATAAGTATCTTACATAATAGTTTTTTTCTTGCCCCTATTACCATTCTAATGTAGACAATATAAGATAAATGAAGATTTTTTGAAATAATTTACTTTTGAATTAATTAAAGGTAATTATTTAAATTAAATTTAAGGTTAGTAAGATAAATTGCATGTGTTTAGTGTACTCCAACAAAATATGAACACAAGCTTGATAGCAGTCCCAGCTGATCAGTTAAAAAAGCTCTTCACCTTTAAATGTTTTAGAATAGTTCCAGTAAATTGTTATTTCCAACTTTCCTGCTGAGGTTAATATTTGTTGATTTACTTCCTTTATTCGTTTTAAAACACCCGCCTGAGTATAAATATTTTTTAACGGTGCTGTAGAAGTAAATCTTGTTTTGCAATCATTTGTCATCATAAATTCTTCATTCCATTTTTTGCTTTTATTTGTGGGTTTATGTTTCGTTTTGTATTTTTGAATGAATATTCAAAGAAAAACTGTTCTAAAAAGATCCAAACCCAATTCACTTTCCTATAATAAAAGGTTTTATGGCAGAAATCCCAAATGTCTAGAATGCAGGTAGTTTGGATTTATAGCAGAGATACAATCAGGTACCTTCTTTCCTACCTTTCAGTCATAATTCCAAATATATTTTTATCTTTTTCAAGTAAAATAAGGGTGTCCAAGTTCTTTCAACAGGAAGTTACATTTTGTCTTTGAGTGCCATGTCATGAGTCACACACTTAAAAGTAATGACTGGAGCCAGGATATAACTTATATAATTTAATTAAAAAACACTATATTTTAAAGACAAGTGAAAAACTATTGATCAGAATATTTGTGTCTCACATCATTCTGGAGTAGCATGACTGATGATGATCAGAATTATGGAATCCAAGAGAATAAGAAAATGTATGGGGACATCCGCTAATCATAACTTTCTATCTTAACATTTATTGAACGTCTCTTAGGGTAGCACCAAGATTTCTGACAGCTATATTAGATGTTGGGGATTCAAGTTGAGAGCTTTTGATAAAGTACTAAGTTGTTAAAAAAAATTATGCAGCCTTTTTCTAAGCTGGGTACCTCCTAGGTGTTTGAAATCTCAACATTACCTGTCTGCTTAGCTATGTCAAAAAATTCTGAGAATACATGTACAAACATCTGAAAAACATTAGGTTGCAGAAAGACGTCACATTTGTAAGAATCTTTATCCTTAACCAGACTCAATTCAGCTAGTATATGATGGCACTTTTGCACAGAGCCCTTCATAACGAAGCACAATACGAGATCAACTAAAAGTGCTTTATATAGCTGCAAATTGAGGAGGCAGATGTAAACAACCTGACTCTGCCCTCTCAATCCCATCTTGCTGTTCTCTGTCTACTTTTGGTATTCAGTTGATGTTTTATTTGAGAATTTTTCATAAAACAAGTTACTAGCGACAATTTTTGCTGCAGCTGCATGTCTCCATTATGAGGATGAAAGAGCAAAAGTAGTAACAACCTATTAAGAATCTTCTAGGAAATGGAGGGGAATGTTGCCAAAACCTTAATACTGATATGTCATTTTGGAAACAGAGAAAAGGTATCATAGGATCTGTTCCAATACAAACTGATTGCACTGATAAAATTCACTAGGCTAATGAGCAAGGGCTCAAGGGATCTTCTGAGATTCTGAGGCCCAAGGAAACTCATTCATTATTGGAGATGAGGAATCATGCTCCTATATTTCAATTTTTAGAGTTGGCACTGTTTGAAGTTAAGTAGCATATAGTTATTATTACCTTGTGGGCAGATCAGTTAATTGTAATTAATATGTTGCTCATTAAAATTCCACAAACCTTATAATTGGTCTTTTACAGCTTCTGGGGATAAATATTAATGACCTGCATTCTGACAATATTAATATACTAAATTCAGAGTGCTGAGAAAATTCTTCTATCAATGTATTGTAAGAGGTATATTGTAACCAAATGTGTGTGCTATCTTTTAATAGGGGAACTGTTCTCTTGATGCTGGAGTCTAATTCTGATCACTAGCATCTGTGCTACTAATTTTTTTTAAAAATGTGTATAGCTGAATGTTGAAAACTGACTCGTAGCAAGTCTGTTCTCTTTTGCCCTGTTTCTAAACAATTCAACTTATAAATATCCAGAAATAAAATACTTAACTATCTAAACATTTTTTTCCTTTCTTAATGTAGGAGTTTTGTGTTTTCCCATGTTGCTATCCACCTTTAGTCATTTCTCATTTCTACATATGGTAGCCAACATGTACGTTTTATGGAGCTTCTCTACCAGCATAGTTTCTTTTCTGGGACGTGAGCAATTCATGGCAGTATACCTTTCTGCAGGTAATAAACCTCAAATCCCACTCTGCCTTTCATATTGTTTTTTTTTATTGTTCATGTATTTTTGAAGTTGCCTTTGAGTTGAGTTTGGGCACCAAAGCAGTGTTTAAAGTAATACATTTAAGTTTCAGACATTGTAGCATGATTTACCCATCATTTTTTTTAAGAAATAATAATTGACTTTGTTTACATAATATGGTAAGCCAAACATAATAGCCTACAAATTGCAGTGGGTGGCTTCAGAGAATACACTAAGCTTAAATTATCACAATATGTGAACCTAGTAATTATTTACTTACCCATAGAAAGAAAATAAAAACACTCATTTTTGGTTATATTGATGTATTATCATTTTCTTTTTCATTATTTATTTTCTATTATTCTGTTCTGTTTACACTCCTTTCATTTTCTTCTCTTTTTTATCATTATAAGCTGCCTAGAGTAGCCCCACGAAAAGATAGGCAGCAAATAAACTTAACAGATAACAAATGTCTTTTGTTAAACAAGTGAAATAGGCAGTAAAGCAAAAATATTTTTTATGACTGTGGTCTTCAGTGAATTTATGTTTCTATTTTTAAAAAAAATCTTTTTAGGGGTTTTTTCCACATTTGTCAGTTACGTCTGTAAAATGGCCACAGGAAAGTTTGGACCATCACTCGGAGCTGTAAGTGCTATTAAATATCTATAAAATAGATGAATGTTAGATACATGTTGGAGCCTACTGTATTTTGCTTTAACAGAAGTTAACATATTTAAAGAGCTACAGTGAAATTTAGCATAATATTCTAATAATGTTGAAATTTTCAATAATCTGCACTCTAGCAAGAAGTAGGATTATTTTTAGGTTAAACATTGTGTCTATATCAGTTATTTAGATGAGCTACTTGATAAAAAATGTACCTATTTCAGTTTTTTGGATAGTTCAATCTTGCAATAATCTTGATACACGAACCATGCTACTTTACTTATTTAAAAGTTGATTGCTTTGAATTTATTTCCAATTGTAACTAATTTTGCTTACCATTATAGCTATCTACTTGGTCCTCTCTATTAATTATCTGATTGGGGCAGGGGGTAAATATCTTCAAATTAGTCCTGACTCTTGGGTGCTCCCTCAATGAGTCTATGTACTTTTCTTGGAAAGACTTCAAAAGTCGTTTGCCATTCTTTTCTTCCTAGAGCTTGACCACACTGGCTTCATGCCTAAGCCAGAAGTGGAACTCATAGTCTTCAAGTTTCAAGTCCATGCCTTTCACACATCAAACTATTCTCTGTTTGAATTTAGTCCCTCTGAATTAGCCAGACTGGTTCCAATAAAAGAGCTAATACTTAATTGTAGCTTTCTAGAGATATCCAAAGGGAACCCTGATCTATAGGCATAAAATGATATTCATAAGGAATATCCCACAGAAAATTATTTTAAAGTAGCTGTTAGTATGTGAGGTATCTACTGTATAGCTAAAATCGTTAAGCATCTTTTCCCTGTCTTTGGCTTTTGAAAAAGGTGAAAAAGAATTTTTATGCATTTGCACTTTGGTACAAAAAATAGCCCCAAATTTTAAGACTGAGCATGTCAATTTATCTCCTGTTTTCATGTAATTTTAGTCAGGGGCTATAATGGCTGTCCTTGGAGCAGTATGTACAAAAATACCAGAAGCCAAGCTAGCTATAATATTTCTTCCAATGTTCACATTTACTGCTGGAAATGTAAGTAGCTTTGAATAATGAATTAGAAACTTTTTTTACCTATTGTAATGTATACCTGAGCAATGTTTTGTGCTTTGTTGTATTTCAAAATTGGATACAGTTTGAAAGTTTCATTTAAATCTAGGTGACAGACAATATGGAGCAGTGTGGCTTTTGTTTACCCTGTGAATTTCTTAAGATGAAACTTTTGGATTCTTTGTGTATTAAATAAGTCAAATTCCAAAGAGATGTTATACAAAGTGTCAAGATACATATTGATTTGAGAACCAGAAACCTACTTTATATAGGTTGTAGCTGTACAAGTGGTTGTAGATGTTCCACTAGTCCAGTGGTTCTCAACCTGTGGGTTGGGACCCCATTTGGGGTCGAACGACCATTTCACGGGGGTCGCCAAACAAGGCTGTCCGCCATTTTTCCCCCCTTTTCTTTGGTCACACCCCTGGCACCCGGTGATGTATAAGTGGTTGGGGGTCACCACAACATGGGGAACTATATTATGGGGTCGCAGCATTAGAAAGGTTGAGAACCACTGCACTAGTCTATAGGAAGCACCTTTTTCCCTTTCTGCTTTTGTCTTGGAATTACTGGCTTCAATTGGTCTAAAGTAGCCCAGGTATCTAGGTAAACTAATCTTAAGGAAGAGCTGCTGAAATGACCTGATTTCCTTTTTATTCATGCTATACATAATGACATTTCTACTTTGCATATTAGGAACAAAGGCTGAGCTGTAGAAAAAAATGTATATTCAAATCAGTATTTAGTATCTGTACATTTGATCATTATACTGTTGACTGCATAGCAAATGTTATTGAGTATGGGATAAATGTTTCTGATATGTTTATAACTAATAGCTTTGCTATTTATTGTACTTTACCAATAAATTGTTTACTCATTTCTAGGCTTTAAAAGCTATTATTGCATTGGACAGTGTAGGACTTATTTTGGGTTGGAGGTTTTTTGACCATGCATCACATCTTGGAGGAGTTCTGTTTGGCGTGTAAGTATTCATATTATGTTGTGATAAATATGACATATCACAGGCATTTTTCTTGTGTTCAAAAAGATCCTGTAAATTGTCCTTTTCTTGGGTCTGACATTGCTTTTAAGAATTATTTTTAGTCATGTAATTAATTACCTTTGTCTATAAGCAGTTCTTATCTCTCTAATGTATTTTGTGAAAATTTTCTTTTGTTTGTTTCTTTCAAGATGGTATGTAATGTATGGGAATAAACTAATATGGAATAATAGAGAACCAGTGGTGAAAGCATGGCATACAGTGAAGACATGGAGACCAAATAAATGAAGTGGACTCTTGGCTGCATTTCAAAATATATTTGCACTGAAATGAGCACAAGTATTGGAGACAAAATAGTGTATTGATTAAATCATAACTACATACTAATTACTCAGATTGTAAGTTCTAGCCCCACAATGAAAATAAATATCTTGGTAAATAAAATGGTATATCTGAAACAAAAACGTGTGCCTTATTGCTGTATTGAGTAAGGCTGTATCTTTTTTTGAGGTATCTTAGAACTGAATTAAAATTGGATCAATTGCCTGATTAATTCATCTTTAAATGAAAATAGGACAATAGTTCCTAAAGCAACAATCCCAATACCACTTTTAAAGGTAAATTTTCATTCTTTCATTCAGCTATCTGTATTTAATATGAATAGATACATATGGAATGTCTTCTCAGACATTAAGATTTTGTATCTCCCTTGTAGCTTCTGTTCAATGAGCAGGTAGCAGCTGTGGTCAGGAGGGCCTTTGCACAGATTCATCCTGTGTAGTCTTTCCCTGACTGACTTTAAATAATCATTCATGCCATGGTCACATCATAACTAGATTGTTGTGATTTGCTTTACATGCCCTTGAAAACTATCCAGAAGCTATAGCTGTTTCAGAATGCAGTGGTGAAAGCAGTAGTGGGCACTTCTCGTTATGCCCTTGGGTTGCAGCCAAGCAAGTTGCATGGGTTGCCACTTGGTTTCTGAGGTGCAATTCAAGGTGCTTGTTATTACTTCTAAAGCCCTTCATGGCACAGGGTCTTTTATCTGTGTGGCATCTATCTCCATATCTGTCTGCCTGGCATATTCAAGTAAAGCTGATGCACTCCAGGTTCCCTCAATTAAACATTGTCATCTTATGGAACCAAAGAAGTGTGCTTTCTTTGTCACTGCTCTTGCCCTCTGGAATAATGCACTTGTACCTTCACAATATGTATGGCACCCACTTTTCTGGGAACTGTGACTGTTCTGGATGATTTTGTAAGAAAATGCTTGCTTAAAAGAAAGACCAAAGCATTTTGAGATAGCAGCCAGAAAGTAATACTTTATTGGAATACACTTGCAGTGTTCATTGGGCTCCTTGCCAGTAGACAATAGGATAAAGTTTGAACTGTGCCTTAAATGTACATTTTGTCAATTATATTTGAACCAAAGATAAAAGGTCTATTACAATTATATTGTGACCCTTCTGAAATGCTTTGATAAGCAGTTGATCTCATTGTTATATTTCATGCTTGCAATATCAACCCTAATGCTATAAACAGCAATGTTTACATTGTGATATTATACAATTACAGTCCTCCCTAGAAGGACAGCTTTCTGGTTTATGTTAACTGACTCTTGTCCAGAGTCACCGTATTGGGCACTAGATAATACAAATACACTGTTGCCTCTAAGACAGTGGTTCTCAACCTTTTTAATGCCGCGACCCCCAACCGGTCATAAGTTGAGGACTACTAAACTGGTGCAGCACCGTTTGCAGAATGGGACTTTTGGCGGGCTCAGCAGGGCAGAGACTGGACAATTCCTATTGGCTTTTGAAAGCCAATAGAATTAGACCCTAATCAAGAGAGTCTATTCTATTGGCTTTCAAAAGCCAATAGAATAAAAGGGAGTAGCACAGCTAAGGAAAAGGGGAAAAAATGGCGGACTGCGTTGTTTGGTGACCCCCGTGAAATGGTCATTCGACTCTAAATGGGGTCCTGACCCACAGGTTGAGAACCACTGCTCTTAAGATAACTAAATGCATGTCTATAAATAGGTGCATATATTTCAATATGATATGTCACAGACATCCAATTATATTATTACATTCCCCCATTCCTTTTCCCCCCTCTTGAGGTGGACAGCAAGAGGGTGGATATTGGTATAATATACAAGCCATCCAGGGGATGACTATAAGGCAGTGGTGGCGAACCTATGCCACGCGTGCCAGAGGTGGCACTCGGAGCCCTCTCTGTGGGCATGTGCGCTGTCACCCAAGCCCAGCCTCCCCCCGGCCCCTTCCTCACCAGAGTTGCCCCTGGGCATGGCCCATGCAGAACAGTGCAGCCAAGGACATGGCAGCCGGCCAGCGGGACAAGAGACTGCCCTTATGCCCCATCACCCTTACACCCCATCGCCCATGATGCTGCGTGGGCAGAGGGTGTGGCCATGGTGCTGCTGGGCCACCTGAATGATGTGCTGTGGCAGGTCATGGAGGTGGTGGGTGGCCCTGTGGGCGGGGTGGGGTGCAAAGTGGGGGTGGAGCGGGGGGCAGAGCAGGGCAGGAGTGGGGGGCAGGTTTGGGCACTTGATCTCTAAAAGGTTCACCACTGCTATAAGGAAACATGGATGTCCTTTATGACAATAGTTGTTACAAGTAACACAATAATTACCACAGCAAGAGATCTACAAGCAATATAGATAACAGAACCTGTGTTAATAAGACAACTAACAGACCTAAAGGTGAAATAACTTTTAATCCATTTCCATATAGTGGAAAAGTTAGGAATTGACAATAATAATGCATGTTCCAAACTTGATTCTTGCATTGATTTTAAATTCTGAACTTGCTTATGAATTATTGCTATATCAGTTTCCATTTGTTGTGTTCATTAATCCAAACAGTAGAAGGAATTCACTAACTTACATGATCCTTGTGAAGTAAGTTAATCCAAAGCCATTCTATTATCCATACTACAAGTGGAGAATTTCTACTTTTTTTGTATAGTATGCACAGCATTGGTTAATGCATGAAAGGCCTACTCTACTTCAATTATACGTTCAAAATATCTTTTTGTAATTCATAGACCTCCAAATTTAATAGTAAAAATTTTAATGTATTACTGTATTGTATTAACAAAGTTGTCTTCCTATCAAAGGGTTCTCAATACATCTAGGAAATCTCAAATGTTGGGGACCATTAATTCATATGGATATACATTTACTAATATGTTGTCCTTAGAGCTCTCCTCAAAAATTCCCAATTAACATTTTATTAGCATGTTCTCCATATATCTGACAGACACCTGGCTGCAAGAAAACAATCTTTGTGATGATGTCCAAGACCTCAATGGGTCACACACTTCCAGAAAAAAAGCTATTCTGGTTTCTGATCTTTCCCACATCCTTCATTACAATCCTTGGCCAGAATAGTTTTTTAATCTGTTTCAGCTGATAACAGGCTATAATTGGTGTATTGATTAACTTCCAGCTTGATTGTATAATGTACATGCGTAGGACTGCCATTCTGCATTACTCAGAAACCAACTGGTACAAAATACTGCAGGTTAATCCTATAAATGCCAGTTTCACCAGGTCTGAACTGTTAACATTAAATGTTTTACTTAAATACTGCTGGTGAAGGAAAAAGGATGCTGACCTCAGTACATTAGGAGTGCTATTCCTGCAATATCCAGCTGCTTTTAAGAACGTTGCCACTTGCTTATTTTCCTTTCTTACCCTTCATTCCTGATTAATCATCTAATATCCGATTTTCTCTCTCCCCAGTTTAGATTGCAGGAGACATCATAAATTCTTCATGGAATGCATGTATAAGAATGAACTGGCAGGCTGCAATAATTAAACCTAAGTAGGGGTAGGATGCTTCCTAAAGAAAAGCCAAGAGGTAGGATGATGGGGCAGAAAGACTTGGTGACTGGTGCTATGTGTCACCCCGTTCCCCCCCCCCCCTTTCCCCTATTATCTCTGTATCCCTCATCAGTGCTGCATTAAGCTCCTTCTGTCACCCCGGATAGGGGGTGGGGATGGGAATGAATGACTGAGCTATCATCACGTGTGTGCTAGCCTCCTAAAGAAAAACTGATTGACCAAAGTGTTGTATGAGGGAGGGAGTCTGACACGAAGAAGCGAGCTGGAAGTAACTCTCAGCTGGGGAAGGGCTTGCTGCAGAACTCCCTCTCCTCCGCTGAGGCACCCCCACCCCCGGGTCCCGGTATCTATCACTGCATCCTTGCACGGTGCTGCCGCCATGGCTTGGCCCTGCATCAGCCGAGTATGCTGCCTGGCGCGCTTCTGGAACCAGCTGGACAAGTCGGATCTGGCCGTACCGCTCACCATCCACAATTATTCCGACATCGAAGAAGGGGCGGAAGCGGGCGGTGGAGGCAGCCCTCAGCAGCCTCGGATCCCGTCAGGAGGTACCGCCAGCAGCCGACCCCAGCCGCCTCCGCGGGCAGCCTCTGCCCTGCCGGCGTCCGCGTCCGCCCCCTCGTTGCGGGACAGCCTGGTCGTTGTCAAGAGGCCGTCGAAAAAAAGCGGGGGCAGGCACCGGAAGGAGCCCTTCGCCGCAGAGACTCAATACCAGCAGGATTTCCGAGCGTGGCCGCTGCAGAAGAGGGACACCCTGCCCTGCCTTGGGGAGTGCCGGAGAGCTGAGCCCACGCGGGCACCTCCGGCCGCGGGCGCCCCAGCCGCCTCTCCCCATGCTGACATCCTGGCAGGGTCTCGAGTGTACGTGCTGCCGGCGGCTAGGCAGGAGGAGAGCAATAAGGATGATGGCTCCAGACAGGTGTGGCCTTCCTCCTCGCCTCCAGGTATCGCCAGGACTTCTTACAGGTAACTCCTTGAATTTTTGTCTGTGATCTAATTCCCCCACCCAACCATGGGCTGCAGTCTTGACTTCAAAGGACAGCATTGCTCCATCTCTTCAGGCCACAATAGATTGTATGTATGTATGTATGTATGTATGTATGTATGTATGTATGACCAACTGCTTGATTATGCTCAAGTCTTTCAGGACAAGCAAACTCAGGAAATACGAACCACTAAATTCTTTAGAGAACTTTATTGATAGCAGGGTAATACAACAATCTTAAAAGCCTGCCAAAGAGCCGCCAACTCTTCTGTAGCAGAATTAAGGCAGAGTCACTTTCTCATGTTTTTCCTATCCCCTCACTGGGGAATCGTTTCTCAATGGTTTTGCTTCTTCTGTGCCAGTTGTGCTCCCTCCTCCATGTTCCCAGGTGAGTTAGACATTTCATCCCAAATATATACTGAGCATGTTGTTATTTAGATCAGTGTTTCCCAAACTTGACAATTTGAAGGCATGAGGACTTCAACTCCCAGAATTCCACAGCCAGCAACGCTGGCTGTGGAATTCTGGGAGTTGAAGTCCACATGCCTTAAAATTGTCAAGTTTGGGAAACACTGATTTAGATTAATGTCCTGTCCTTTCTCCAAGAGCTCAAGTGGGTTTGTTGTCATGGTGGAAGGCCAGTAGATCATTTTTTGCTTTCTTTATAGTACATATGTAACCAAATTGGGACTATGAATATACTTTCATGCCTGGATCAGGCATTGTATTTAATTATATGTAATTTACATTCTGTGTAATATTCTATTAAGACTCTGATATTTATATCCCGGCTTTTCTCAGAAAGCTTAAACCAATGCATATAATCCTCTCTCCTAAACATATTAGTTTTATAGTGAACATGGACAACATATTAGACTTAATATGGAAATGATTGGGCTGAAGTCACCCATTGACTTTCATAGCTAAGTTGGAAACTGAATCATTCCTTTCCTGATCCAACCTATTTAATACATGTGCAGCATTTAATCATTCTTTGTTGTGAAAATAGACCTGTTTAATATTTGGATCTGAGATTACTAGAAGAGCTCAGGCTTAGGTAGGAGAAAATTGAAAAAAAATCCTGAATAGAGGCAATGGCATGCTGCTTTCACACTGTAATCAAGAAAACATGGCTCTACCTGTATTGTCACCTAAACTTGATAATAGTGAACTTGTTGCCTCTGCTTGAAAAACAAGGTCCATTAGGCATCCAGTCTATCTGGACACAGCAAAATTTGTGTCCAGATAATTATCAACAAATTCTTTCCTACAAATGCTTATTAAATAATAATGTATGAAATAGTCCAGGAATCAGAGATTGAGAATTCATCAAAATGATGAAATGTAAGTAATAGTATCAAGACACTAGCTCCACATCCTACATGCTGCTTTATCATGTTATAATGTAAGTACAAAGAGTTAGAATTTGAATTGTGCAGTCATAATGCAGATATCATCAATATTTGCCTCCCCTGTGAATGTCCATGCCAATCTTCATAATCTGATGGAATGTGATTTCTAGAGTTCAACCACTGATACACATACAGGTTTCAGACAAGGCAGTCTTACATTTGCTATGTGCTCTCCTAAGCACCCTTAGTCCTTTCAACATTTGCATAATACTTTCAAATGATATTTGCAAAATACTTATAATCCCTGTTCATTCTATTTTCATTTTGTGAGGGTAAACAAGGAAAATACATTTTAAAATACATTGTGCATGCTTTTGTAACTTTCTGAATATGATGAGAAAGCAGATTTAGCTTGTCTTTTCTTTTTCAAAGTAGCATCATCCACTTCACTTTCATTTTGCAAATTCATTTTAGACATGAACATCACCCATGGTCTGCAGCAAAACGATCCAGGCCTACAAAGACAACACGGGGGTTCATTATTCCAGAAAATCACTTTGTGCAAGAATCTAGCTACAAGTCAGACTTTAAGGTAAATGTACTTTACAAAGCTTTTGGAATTAAGAAATTTGCTAATGTTTGACCAGTAGAAAACAGACCACTAAAAGATTGGTATGTTTGAAAGAAATGCTTCAAAACAATAAATATTAATAGAAATTAATAAATGTAATTAATATCTATTAATAAATATTAATATAAATTTGGAAATCAATAGAAATTAGGAAAGGTGTCTTGATTTAGCAGAAGCAGTCCTATGGACATGATCCATTTACTTTGAATTGAATCCCAATTTAAGCAATACCGTATTTTCCAGCGTATAAGATGACTTTCTAAACATGCAAATCTTCTACAAAGTCGAGGGTCATCTTATATGCCTGGTCGTCTTATACGCCGGAAAATATGGTATTTTCTGGCGTATAAGACGACTTTCTAACCATGTAAATCTTCTCCAAAGTCGAGGGTCATCTTATACGCCCAGTCGTCTTATACGCCAGAAAATACGGTACTAATTTCTGGGTCCGCTTGTTTTAAACATATCCTCATTTGGAGCCACTTGCTGATACATAGAATTACTACCAAAACAAGGTCAGAATATATACCTTGAACTTTAGGATTTAATTGTATGCAGCACAGTCCTTTGCCATAATATCTAAGCTTTAAATGAGATCACATTTAGCTCAGTGATCTCTTCTGTCATGTAAATGAGCACACAATTAATTATTGTAATTTTAGTTTTTCCACTATTTGTAAAAGGGGGCATTTGTAGGACATGACCTGGCTGAGCCTGAAGGAAGGGTGAAGTGCATCATCAGTCTCCAGTCCCTTCACACCCACAAGAGATCTAAGTCCAGCTCATCTTGAATTCTGTGGATTCTTATCTACTGCCAATTTGCTTTGACCATTAGTAGTTCAGATTCTTGTACAGAATGTTAGCATGCAAAAAACCCCAACCCTGCATTCATTTGAACCACCTTAACTCCTAATTTTCTGTGCTTGACAGGAATTTAAAAAGCAGGTTAATACAAATTAACATGCCACACAATTCTCATAAACATCAACTATTATAAAACAGTATAATAATGCTTTTCTCTTTGAAATCAGCCAAACACCCACCAAAAAGGGAGGCTGGTATACTAGTAAAGATAACTAACCTGATATAATGGGACCCTGCCAATTTTTCACCAGGGCCAGTAGGAGTCTGGGTCAGCCATATCATGTAGCCTAGCTAAAACTACTTTATACCACTGCAGAGATTCATAGTTGATTGACCCATTAAGAATGTATATTCTTAAGAATTTTTTAAAGATACTGGAAGTAAAGCGAGAGCTGATAGAGAATTTGTTTCCAGATCTATGCAAGATAGTGTTACTGGGCAGTTAAGAAATGGAAAATAAGGATACAAGACATATTTCCAGAAATATAGTATCACAAACATACTTATCTGGATAGTAAATAAGTGACATTTAAATACATGTAAATGGCTTTAAAATTATGTTTCTTTTAAAAACAAAATTGTACCACCAAAATGTATACTATAATCTGGCACAGTGGTGGCGAACCTATGACACGGGTGCCAGAGATGGCACTCAGAGCCCTCCCTGTGAGCACATGTGCCGTTGCCCCAGCCTTGCCTCCCCCGCAATCCCCTCCTCACCAGCAGCCCCACTGGAGGAGAGTCACCCCCCAAGTGTGGCCCATGTGGAGCAGAGCAGCCAAGGACATGGCAGTCAGGCAGCATAGACAAGACTCTGCCCTCACACCCCATCATGCACAGTTGATGCTGCGGGGCGTGGGCAGAGGGTGTGGCCGCCATGGTGCTGCTGGGCTGCCTGGGCAATCTGCAGCGGCCCCTGGAGGTGGTGAGTCACCCTGTGGGCAGGTGTGACATGGGATGAGGGGCAGGGGCGTGGAGCGGGGACGGGGCCAGTTTTTGGGCACCCAGTCTCCAAAAGGTTTGCCATCACTGATCTGGCATATAGAACATTAATTTAAATAGCTCTGATATTATGGACATAGAAAGTTTGTTTTCTAAATTAATATTAATGTAAAATTAATATGTTTCTTGTATTTGTTTTTCCTCATTGTCTTATATCAATTATTATCCATTAATAATGTCTAGGCTCACACTTCTGCGAAGACTTTTTACTCAGTTCTTGGAAACATAACAGTGATGAAGTGTGTGCATGCATATTAATCCATAAAAACTGATTAGTTCATAATTCAGCATGTTGTGTCTTATGTATCCATAAGTCAACATTTTGTGCCTTGCTATTACATGTGCACAAGACTATTTCTACCAGTATCAAAATATTTAATTTGGATTTTACCTCATACTGAAACTGTTAACCACAATGTAAATACATATATGTAACCAATAACTTAAAATGTCATGTATGTAAGGGGTTGAGATATTATGTAAGTTTGTGTGTGTGGATATCTGAGGGACTGTTTGCTGGGTTTGAAGAAGCTTATATTATAGCCTATTTTAACTCCATTAATTTAAAAAAAAAATCAAGGGGTAATCTGAACAAAATCTGCAATTCAAAACATGATAAGGGATTTTGAGGGATTATCTGCTCTCTCTATGTATATGGGCATTACAGACAAGTCAAATTCAGTTTAAATGCATTACTTATCTGGTGGCCAAATAGATCATCCTCAGGCTGGCAAGCCATGTGTAGGAAATAATATTTTTAATTCCTTCAACAGGAGAAATACTATCAAACAATGTAGGTCAGCTTTCTTCAACCAATCATTCTGTAGGTATATTATTGGGCTACAATATCTATCATTCCCCAGTATTACAACCAATCCTCAATGTCTTTTCCTTTTTCTCTCTAGATTCCAGAAGCAAAGACAAAGTTTTCTTCAAATCCTTCTGCTGTTTTCCAGGCGCCATCTCGCATCCTTAGTATATGAATCTGGTTCATGATCATTTTCTGTTCAACCAGCTTAAGGTTGTGAAGATGAACAGCTATGCAACTTTGTAAGTGCTCGTGAGATAAAAGTAAAGGATTATTAAAATCAGACATAGTAATTATCCGAATTCATGAATCTAATATGAATATGTAAATCATAAATACTTGAATTTGAATTGAAGACAGTCTAACTTACTGGAAAGAATGACCTAGATTCAGAGAAATATCCTCATTACCATTAGCTAGACTTGGCTCCCATTTGAAACACTGACAAAAAGGCAATACTTTAAGCAGTATGCTGATTCTTAAGTAAAAAATACACTGTATAAAATGCATCACTAATTTTCCACTTTCATTAATTCATAGTCATTTTACTAAGTGGTCCCTAAAACAATTTGGGTAGATTTTGAATTTTGTTACTTCTTTTCACTCACCTTTAAATGAGTCTCATACTTTTAAAGACATTTTAATGCCACATTATTGAGAATCATTATATTAAAGAGAATGCTTAAATCTGAGTTTTATTTAAATTACAATTATTTTGTAAAAGTAATTAAAGCATCATAGCAATGAAAGTGGAGTTGGGCTGAGTAGCTTTATGTATGTCCTTAATCACCTCCCAAGTTATTTAAACACAAGCACCCTACAGGGATCAATTCTTTTTTTAATTTTTTCATTTAATTTCATTATTTCATTTTTCAAATTTTTATACTGCTCAACTCCCAGAAACTCTAGGAAATTCACAGGTTAAAAACATGAAGAACAATGAAATAATGCATGATAAAAACAAAGAACAAAAGATAGAACAAACCCAACAACAGCAGAGCAAACCCACATGACCCAAAATGGGACTTCAATAACAAAGCCAGTTTTTCAGGCATTTCCAAAACAGTAGGATGGAGGCCATCCAGATCTCTGGGGAGGGGATCCTCATTCCAGAGTGCAGGTGGTACAACAAAGAAGGTGCACTTTCAGAGTCCCAATAGAGGGACTGGATATAGTGCTCCAGGTAGGTTCTGATCAGGGAAGAGTAGAGGAAGCAACAATTGCTTCCAGTCAAATGTTGGCTGCTTTTTTGTGGTTCTGGAAGAAAAGGAAAAACGTCTTTTAGAGTCTTGATACTATTAGCCCAATTATATACTTTCTTCATAAAATTTTAGCGTGTATTGCTTCAAGAGGATTGCTTGTCGATATTGGTTTGTTTTTTTTTTTTTTTGGTGAAGGTGTTCCCTTTACTTATGGCTTTCTTATATCTTTGGTTCATTTTTTTTCCTAGGCTGTTTTCCTGAGTCCTTTTGGTCATGTGAGCCACAGTGCAAGCTCCTTTATGGCTGTATGACCAACATGTAGCCCGTCTATCACACTCACATCAACACATTCCCAGATGAAAGTCTAGTTTTTACTGTGAAGTTTAAAAAGTGGGTATGACTAAGAAGTATTAAAAACCATCCTGTTTCTTTTCTAAGCCAGAGAGACCCCTAAATCATGCTATGAAATGAAAGCTGGATGTTTTAAAAGTGAGGTTGCTTTATTTACTTATGCTCTGCCCATTATACAGAAAAGGTTGTTTATATTAATGTATGCCAAATAAGAAACACAGCTAAAAGTGCAACACACAGCCAGAGGATCACGGCCTCATCAATGTTCCCTGATTTATGTACATAGAATTAACTGATCTTTAACAAGCACACTTTTTTCTGGAAGTGGGTTTTTTCAGTCTTGATAATGTTTTCCTGAAGGCTCCATTTCACTGAGAATTCAGTTATTAAATTCTGGGAAGAAAACTTCTCAAAGGCAGTAGAGGCAACTGTAACTAGTATTCACATTTTCTTGGGGGCTAGTAGCCCTTACTAGTTTGGGTTAAGTATTGAATATTGCACTAGGCCAGATATTAAAGCAATGGCCAAGATAATTTGTTTAATGTGTTTGTAAATGTTGTAAATAGGAAAAATTATGATTTTCCAAAATAAAAATGTGCATGCTTTAATGTGATTTTATTTAACATTCATAGTTTTTGAGTATGCAAACTAGAAAATGATTTGCCTTGAAAAAGCAAAATTACTGCTTGTTGCTAAGGAAGTATGTGTTAAATATGTTATAGTATAATTTTCAGAGAGACAGTTTTACTTTTTCATTATTTTGGAAGAGCATTTTTGTACAATATTGTAATTTTTGCTTAGACATTTTAAATACATTAGTTCTCATTCATCCCTAATACTGCATATATTTAAGACAGGGTTTAACATAATAACCACCCCAACTTAATGCATTGTTTCATTTACCTTTGCAGAAGTTACAATCATAATTTGTTGGTTTGATTCCAGTATACTTTTGTAAGCTTTTAATGGGCACATGAAATTTCTCATTTCAGCCCAGTGATGTCCCATTTCTGTGTATGCAGCATACAAGACCCTTGCGAATTTTATTCTGAATAATTCATATTTAACATTTCCTAGTTTAAAATGTGGCTAATAACATGCAGCCAATCTTTCAAATAAAAAACAGAAGTAAAAGTAAAGTATTGTATAATTTGGAGAAAATTGGCTGCAGCGAATTGTTTTTTCATGAAAATTTTCTTAATTGTAATCATTCAGCTAAGATCTAAAAAGTTATTTACATTATCAGAAAAATCTTAAGGGTTAGGGTATGTACTTGTTACATTTTTTTCATTCTTTGAATAAGAGGCTCTCTTGCCTTCCATTAGTGCCATATCATAAACTGCTTTTGACAATATTTCATGTAGCAATCATTTTTCCTTATAGTAAAGGGCCTGCTGCTTGAGAATTGTTGTTTCAAAATCTCCTTGAGCATGTCCACCCCCCACCCCCAGCCCCTGACTTTGGAACAATCACAATAATAAGGTGCTTGTCTAGAAGGTAAATGACAACATTGTTCCTCCAGTAGTCTTATGAGGCCATTTTGCCAGATGAATCCAACATGCTGAAAGAATTAGGAGGAATGGGAAGGTAAAAAAATACGATTTGTAGAAACATGTTCCAAATTGCAATCCTTGCATGTTGAATGTTTCAAGGTGAAATTGCTATTAATTTTGCTTGACTGATCTAATTTCTTTGAATATTAATTGGTTTAATTATTTATAAGCCTGACTTTTACTAAATGGAGAAAAGAAAATCACACTGCCTACTTGGTTACAATTATTTTATTTCTTATAAGAAAAAATGTGGCAGAACATGATATTTGTATTTTATGGAATTAAATAATTTATTAAAATGTATTTTTGTCTACATATACTTTCTGCTGTAGTTTTTTGGTCTAATGGAAATCATTTGAATACTGAAAGGTGAACTAAGTTTACATTGAAGGACAATAATATAAAGTGTCATGTACGTTGCTTCCTGATCTTATCTACCCAGAGTGGGAAACTACATGTTTTCCTACATTCTGTACTCTCCTTTCTAATATGGAACTAGGAATGACAAACCCTTGCTGAGAAAAGAGGGAGCATTATTCTGTAAAATGCAATTAATCTATACACATTTTCAAAAGAAATGGGAAGCATTAAACCCATATAAAGTTTTGGCTCAAGGATGGTAAAATCAAGGTGCAGAAAGAAACATAGAAGGATATAGGATACAAGTGAAATGAAAGAATTAAGCAGCAGAAAATAGTACAAATGGATCCACCACGTTTTGTGCCTTTGTCACTTATTATGAAGTCAGTTTGGATAACTGGATATTCTAAGCAGATAAGATACATGCAGTTTCTTATTTTGGGTTCTCTGACTATATCCAAAAGACAGTTTTTGAGATTTTAAAATGTAAGGAATAATACTGAAGGCAAACTCCACATATTCTTAGTATGGGGATAAGAGTGCAAATTGGTTCATGGTGAATATTTATTAGAAGTATTTGGTGCTTACCTATTGCTCCTTAATATTTGTTTCCAACATGTTACTTACCTATTACAATATTGCTACAGAAAATTATTTTTTTAAAGAACAATATCAAAATGATTGATGAAGACATGGAAATATTGTTTTGATAAAGGATATGTCTCACTCTCCCCAGCACCTTTTACAGAAAACCATATAATCAAGCAAGAGCTGAAACTCTGTGTAAATAGATCACAGATATATTAATTTAGAAAAGAAAAAACCCAACCCAAGAATACCCTGAAAATATAAAAGTTCTTAATGCATTAGCTTTAGGTATCATGTATTGGGATTGCATAGCTATAAGAATCTTTTATTGTAATCACAAGTTATATGTAACACAGGCATAATACAGAAAATGGAAAACATTTTGATTAAATGGAAATAAAATTATAGCCAATCATACAAAGTCTAACCAAAATTAGAATAGTAAATGTAACAATACTTTATAAGGCTAACCATGAAATTACTGTCTACTGTCTACTGCCTAGAAGGTTCATGGAAATAAGGAGATACTATGGAACATATATATATATATAGGGTGTATCAAAAGTCCATCCTCATAGACAATTTATTATATAACTTGCATTAAATGTTCAAAAAGCAGAGACATCACCCTGCCAACAAAAGTGCATATAGTCCAGGCCATGGTTTTCCCAGTTGAAATATATGGCTGTGAAAGTTGGACCATAAGAAAGGCTGAGCGCCAAAGAATTGAGGCCTCTGAACTATGGTGCTGGAGAAGACTCCTGCAAATCCCTTGGACTGCAAGGCGTTCAAACCGGTCAGTCATAGAAGAGATCAACCCCGACTGCTCTTTAGAAGGCCAGATCCTGAAGTTGAAACTCAAATACTTTGGCCACCTAATGAGAAGGAAGGACTCACTGGAGAAGGGCCTAATGCTGGGAAAGATTGAGGGCAATAGAAGAAGGGGACGACAGAGAATGAGATGGCTGGATGGAGTCACTGAAGCAGTAGGTGTGAACTTAAATGGACTCCAGAAGATGGTAGAGGACAGGAAGACCTGGAGGAACGTTGTCCATGGGGTCGCGATGGGTCGGACACGACTTCGCAATTAACAACAAAATGTTCAAATTGGTTGCCATTTTATTCTAAACATTTCATTAATTATTTGATGCACGACTTTTGAACTTTCTAAGATAGATAATATTTCTCTGAAACAATATTAATAAAACTTTGTGATTGGCCCAGCTGGGCCTGATTTTTGGTACACCGTGTCTATATGTAGCCTAACTCCTGACTCTGTGTGTATAAACAGTGATATTTAATCCCATGCAATATATATTTTAAGTAAATGAAGCACCCTGCCATTTTATTATCCTAGAATGTAGTTGCTATGGCAATACACATCCTGCAGCCATCACTGTGATTAGGTAGTATGAATTGTTAATATTGGACTTGCTTTTAAGGGGAAAAAGCTCTTACAGTTCATTAGATACAAAATGCCTGTTAACTGAAAAGAACTAAATATTGAATCTACGTAGGAGATATAGAATTCTTGACTGAACTATGTATGCAGACCTCAGTATTTAGGTTCAATAATACTAGAGAAGCACCAAACAATAAATATATTTCCTACCAGATTTATCTTATCATATTCTTGCCACTACCAGAATACTATGATGACTTCTGCTAAATATGAGTTCTGTCTACAGTTCCTTCAAGAAATGTATTCCGTGTGTTCCTAGTATGGAATGTATTTCTCCTGAGCATATTTGAATGTGATATACAAATTGCTTGAGTACAGCAATAGAAAAATCAGCAAATTATAGAACTGCACAGATTTAGAGTCCACAAATGTAACAGTGACCAGATGGGTTACAGGTAAAGTGAAGTCAATAACTATAGCTCTGGTGCAGCATTTCTCTTTTTCTTCTCATGGCTCCAATGTTGAGCCATGCAAAATGCCATGTAAACTTTATTAAAAGGAGTAATCATAGAGGCTCATCCAGAGATTGCCGGCTCTGGCACTGTGTTACTAATTCTGTTAATGTTTGTGCTCTTTTTGAATTATGATGATTATGAAGGTAGTACTGTAGCAGTACAGCATATCATATCAAATCCAGTTTCCATGTTACATTTTAATCAGTTTTGAATATTATGGTGCAGCTTGGCTTGACAAAATGGAAATTTCAACCATTTCTTCATGTAAGAAACTTGGGAATGAAAACTATACATAAGTCACTCCTTCATTTTCTTTGTTCATTTAAAAGCTGAAAATGAAGAAAAAATCTGAATATTCTTTCTTCAGAGTATTTTTAGTTTTGTAGTATGTTTTCTATATAACTCAATTTAGGGTAAGTAGTGTAGTGCAAATCAGCAATTTCAATAAAAATGGAAACAGGACTGAGATTTAAAGAGATTAGTGCAGAAACAGGAATGAAAACAGCATAAACATGAAGCAAAAAGCAAAACAAACCAAGTACTTCCATCATACTGTACTTAATAAAGAAGATTTATTGTAAAGGTATATCAGACAATTATACATTATAGTACATATGATGATAAGGGTTTAAGTTGGTAATCAACATGGACAGTAATAGTCCTCAAGTATTTGAAGGAGCTATTCTAGAAAAAAGAATCTAGGGTGTAGAATTAGACTGTTTCAATCAATGAAGTTCAAATAGTATAATATTGTATATCAGTCTAATATAATAGCAATTTTCTCATTTTCAAAATGAAGATATGCCCAAACTACAAGTCAAACCTGAAATACCACACATTTTAAAGGGTAAGATTTTATGAATACCTGCTTTGCTAACTCAGAACATTAGATTATTTTTATTATATTATCACTGGTTTAAGTTATGTAGGTTTTTTTTGTTTTTGCTGAGATTTATTTTCAGCAAAGAAGGCTTCCTGACAATACAACTGAAAAGGAAGCCTATTAAATCCCAAGAAGCTTCTTAGTGAGGATATAGTATGACCACTTGAAGTCAATTTCACTTTAATCAACTCTGAGAATTATCTTACTCTATTCCCTAAAGTTTTGTTACTTTAACATGATTAATTCCAGTTAAGATGATATAGTAAACTGCAGCAAAAGTCTCCGTCTCTTTGGGCCATGTCCATTTAAAGAAAAGAAATATATGAACCTAGGGAAAGGTAAGACTTGTTCCTTTAACAGTATACCATAGCATAGTATATCTGAACTAGTCTATCATTATGCTTATCCATTTAATTGCATTCCCAGAGTCTGCCAGTCCATATCCATGGGTTACATTAAATGGCAAAATGTATCACTGAAAACTTTCTGTGATAAGTAACTTCCATGCTAAACCATGATATCTGCAACTAGTATACTATCTTTTAACTTTCACAGCATATTTAGAGCCAGCTGCCACAAATATCTGACAGGTGAACTTAAAACTGATTTTTAAAAAAGCCTTTTCTTAAAAAATATTTAAAAATGCTTTATTTTTAAAAATAAAAAACATGGTTGAAACATTGATTTGTAGCACTCAAGTTAACTTAGTCTCTACAATGTAAACAGGTATCTGGACACAAGTAATTTGGGCCATTATCTTTATTTAAGCTTTATGTAGCTTTTCAATCCACATCACTGTTCATCATTCAGTATTCCCATATGCTTATTTGTAAGGAAGTCCATAAAGGGAATGTTACAGATAGCCTGGTGAATGTTCATCATTGTGATCTCTCTTGGAATCCTGCAGAGAGAAAATGCAGATGGAATGCAACCTGTGAAACATTTATATGCTACTTGGTGAAGCAAAAAATAAGGAAGAACTCCAACTTTCCCCAGCCTGATGTCCTCCAGACTTGTTGGATTATACTTCCTATTATTCACAATTAACAGCACATAATGGGATTTGTGTTCCAGTATATCTGGAATATCAGGCAAAGACAGAGCTATAAATGTGCTTCAAACGCACTATAGTTGTCTTGATAATAAACAATTGCTTCAATTATCATTAAATAACCATTTTAGCTTCCTTACAATTATATAAGCAGTATTTTATTTAAAAATCCTACACAGACATAGCTTAAAAATTATCTACATATTTAAAACAGATCATATAGGAATATAGAAAGTTATTTTATATCACGTAAAACTATTCCATATATCAAATCCAATTATATTTACTTTCATAACAAATTCCTGGAGTTTGTTTTTTCTTTCATTTGCCCTGATTCCTTACTGATTAAAAATGAGGGATGAACTTGGGAATTTCTACATGGCAAGCAAGTTAATTTTATTTCAAACCATTTCTGAGGATGGAATCTGAAGAAGTTGTTCAGCACTTCCATGTTCCCCTGCATTTCTTTCTTCTATGGCCAGTGAAACCATTTTAAAGAAATGCTCAATTTCAAAA